TAGAGGCACTTGTGCTGGTTTCTGGGTTGTTTGGATACAGTATCTCCTTTATCCCTTCACATCCAGTCTGTGTGCGCCTGGCCATGTCCACATTGTCCAGAACACTCCGGATTCTTTCTGCCTTTGTTCAATGCCCATGAGCAAGGTACACGGACCCAACTATGCTCCTAACAAAGCAAAGCTACAACCTTGACAGTGTCCTCTGCTGCCTGACGTCAGTTTGAAGTCACATCTGGATCTTTGCAGAAAAAAAAGTTAAGTATGGCTTCAAGTGCTCATTGTGGGATGGCCTCTCGCAATGATTTTGCCCACATTCTTAGCCCCCGTGTGCGTGTTCGTGTGTTTGATTACTACCACAGAGTTGCTGAGACTTCTTGCACACAAAAAACTTTTCCCCTGAGCATTTCTTTTGAGTTTATCCAGGTATGACTTCCGGGTAAGTTCTTTCCCACATACACTACATTGTAGAGAGCTTCTCTACAATGTTAAGTTAAGCTAAGTTAGTCCTCTGGTAGAAAATGAACCTTTTTTTTAATACCCGATACTCACAGTTAAAGGAGAAGAGGTTAATTTAGCTCACAGTTTGCGGAAGTTTCACTCCATAAGCAGCAGGTTCCAAGGCATGGTGGCACATGACACAGAGGCACGTGTTCATGGCAGTGAGAGCAAAAAGCAGAGAGAGACAAACAGACAGAGACTGCCGGGAGGGGGACTTTGGAATAAAACCTCACCCACACTTCTTAAACACCTAAGGCTTCGCCCTGGAGTATATTCTCTGGTGTCTGCGGAGACTGCCTTCCAGCTAAAACCCTGTGCACACTGCAAAACACAAAAGGCTTCCTCCTGAGGCCTCCTCTGGTGTGATGAGGTGTCCCCTACTGCTGAGGGTCTGCCCACCCTCGAGCTCTCATCAGGCCTCTCTCTGAGTGTGAACTTCCACACACAGCGAGGCTGACTTACTGGCACTGGTTTGCCCGCAACGTTGTTCACAAAAGGCTTCTCTCCTTTTGAGTTTGTGGGAAAAAATAGAGAAACAGAGGAAGAGACTAGAATAAGGTTGGAGGGCCAAAGGAAGATCGTGCAAACATTGGGAAATTGGTGAAGAAGACAGGAGCGAAAGAGACAAGGGAGAAATCAAAACAAGAACAAAACTAGGAACCATGTTCACACTCACATCAAAACTGGTTTTTTGGTTTGTTTTTTTTTTTTGTCTTTTTGAGACAGGGTCTCACTGTGCAGTTCAGGCTGGCCTTGGGCTCACTTTGCAGCCCAGGCTGGTCTCGAACTTGTGATAATTCCCTTGCCTCAGCCTCCCAAGTGCTGGGATGACAGGTGTGTGCCACCACGCCTGGCTAAAACTATTTCAAAAAATAAAAGAGAGGGGAAAAAAAAAGAAAAAAAAATGCTTGCTTCAAGGTGTGTGTTACAGGTCCACACCTGGGCAGGCAGAGTCTAGATCCAAGCTGATGAGCTCCAGCCAGCCAGCTGTAGCTTTGCTCCTGAAGGGTCGTGCGGCCGAAAGGAAGGGAGAGACGAGATCAGAGCCCTGCCTGCACCCAGGATCCCAGGCCACAGTGAGGACTTGGGTTTTAACCCTCAGGGGAACTCGGAGTCATGGTAAGGTCACGAGCAGAAAAGTGATTCTCTGAGTGAGGTGTGATGGCCTATGCCTGTCATCACAGCTACTTGGGAGTTGAGGCAGGAGGATTGGCAGTTCAAGGCCACCCGGGCAATTTAAGAAGAACCTGTCTCAAGGTTGAAGAAAGAGGGAGACACCAGATACTCTGGGTATATTTTATAGAAGAGCCAAGGATTGTACATGATTATAACAAAAAGAGAAGAATCTGAGAGTAACTCCAGCCACTGGGAAGAGCAAGTCACCACTAATGAAAGGAAGGAAAAATGAGAAAGGATTTTGGGGGTGGGCCACCCCTTCCTGGCTGAAGAACCAGATTATAGGAAAGACACGGGTGGATGCGGTCTGTGCAGGAATTTGAATGTTCTAGAACATGTCATGTCTCTGTCTCTTTTCCTCTTTCTCGGTCTATATCTCTTTCTTTTTTTCTTCCGCAAGGTTTTGCTATGTAATTCAGGCCAGTCTTGAACTCACTATGTAGCCCAGGCTGGCCTCGAACTCATGGCAATCCTCCTGCCTCAGCCTCCCAGATGCTGGGATGACAGGCCTGTGCCACCACGCTTGCCTGTGACTTCATCTTGTATCTCCAGGTGGCTTCACTCACAGCCTCATTCACTTAATAGCAACAGTCTCCCTGGAGATGGCTACGTTGATCCCCAGCCTGAGATCCTAAGAGAAAGAAAAATGTGTCCTATTCCCCACCACTCTAGTCACACAAACAAGCAAAAGTTCAGTGGGAGGCTCAGTTGCCGGGCTCTTACCTAGCACGTATGAGGCCCTAGGTTTGATCCCTAGCACTACAAAAATACATTTAAATGTTTTTAAATTTAAAAATAATTTTAGAAGCCAGGCCTGGTGGCACATGCCTGTCATTCCAGCACTCAGGAGGCTGAGGAAGGAGGACAGCAGTGAGTTCAAGGCCAGCCTGGACTACGTAGTTAGACCCTGCCTCAAAAACGAACATTTTTTAGAAGTATGAGAGGAAATTTTATTGGTCATGCCTTGTGTTCTGTTCCCTTCCTGAGCCGGTGTACAGGAAGGAAGAAGTGCTCTGATTGGCCAGCTGGGCTACGTTTCTATCCCTTGGTTCAGTAAAGGAGGTCATCACCTCACCACCCTCATAAACTATGGAGTGAGGAGCTTCACCTACACAACACTTGGGCAATCGACACTGACCACTACAACCTTCGAGGTGCATCTAGAACAGGTCCATTTTCCCAATTCTAGCGCCATCATGGTAGGCTAAGCTACTTTACAGTTGCAATCTCCTTCTTGTCCTCCTGTTCCCTTTCATCCTCCTGTAAACATTTTCTGCAAGGGCCAGTAACTCCCAGACCCAAACCTTCTCACATCATATCCTTCCTGTGCTCAGCTTCCCATTCTCAAGGGAAATTCTTCTGTCTTCTAAAGAACATGGATCTACCAGCCCAGATATGTGTAGTTTTTTTTTAAGAACAGAGGAAACAGCCAGGCGTGGTGGCTCACACCTATGATCCCAGCACTCGGGAGGCTGAGGCAGGAGGATTGTTGTGAGTTCGAGACCAGCATGGGTTACAAAGTGAGCTCAAGGCCAGCCTGAACTGCATAGCAGGACCCTGTTTCAAAAAGACAAAAAAAAAAAAAAAAAAAACCAGAGGAAACATGGTTTTATTAAATAGCAGGTGACTATAAAATACATATGAGCTAAACAAGGGAGTACAAACCTGTAATCCCAACACTACTGGAAGCTGAGGCAAGAGAAATGAAAGCCTGAGCCCAGCCCAGGCAATTCTGCAAGACTCCATCTCAAAATAAAAGACAAAGCTGGGCATGGGGCACATGTGCCTAGTCCTAGCACTGGGAAGCTGATGCAGGTGGGTCATTGTGAGTTAAGGACAGCCTGGACAACACAGTGAGTTCAAGGCTAGACTGAACTATATACAAGAGCATCTCAAAAAAAACCATGCACGCACGCACGCACGCACACACCAGATACAGACAACAGCAACTGTGGATTCTTCATACCTAATGACACAGTAAGCTCCCATCATCAGAGCGGGCTCCCTAAAATGCTAGCAGAGAGAGGAGTTAGGCAGGTGACAGAGCTGCACTTATGGATGCTGATGTGACAACTGCCACAGGCCAGCTCCCTATCCATGTCTTTTCCTTTGGATGCCTGAGGATTGGTGCTATCAAGAAAAACAGTGACTGTTCAGATTGGGAAGTTCATGACCAACCCACAAATTCAGAGGAAATAAATGGCTACTAACATCTTTCATCCAGGTAAGGCAACAAAAACTTAGAGAAAACTGGCCAAAATGTACAAGACCATACAAAACATCATCTATATATTTGGAGTCAGAGCCCATTTTGGTGGCGGCAAAACATCGGCTTTGACATAATTTATTATTCCTTGGATGGTGCAGAGAAAAATGGACTCCCAGACATAAATTTGCAAGATATGGCTTCCATGAGAAAACAACAGACCTCCAGAAAACAGTGGGAGGGACACAGCACCTAACCAGACAGTTAAGGGCTGCAAAGATCAGTCTTGGTACTGGCAAAAGCAGGAGCAGTTTCCAGTGACATCTTATGCTGGTGAATGTGTGGATTTTTGTAGAAGATTAATAAAAATTTAAAAAGTAAAAAGGAGCAATCAAGCCAAGCGTGATAGTGCAGACCTGTAAATCCTAATATTGTGGGCAGCTGAGGCAGGAGGATTGCAAATTCAAGCCCAATCCAAGCATATTAGCAATTTAGCAAGACGTTGTCTAAAAATAAAAATGAAAAAAGGCTGGGGATGTACTTCACTGTGAAGACCCTAAGTTCAACCCCCACTTTAAAAACAAAACAACAAGAAAGGAACAATCACATTCGTTCTTGGCTAAGAAACATTAAATACCAAAGTCTGGGGAGCTTGGCTGTACTTTTAAATGTCTGCTGCATTCTTGGACTTTAGAAAAACGCTCTGTTCTCTACCAAGAACTTGAAGACGCTCCCTGCTTTGCAACCCTATATTCTTCTCCCTTCCTCCTTTTGTTTTAGCTCCAATATTTCTCAAGTCCCCGCACTCCCGACACCCAGGACCACACCCTTCACCCCGTTGTTGTGTCTGAGGTTCTGGGCAGGAAGGAGGCTGGCCTTTGCGGTTCTTTCAGTTAAATGTCCTCGCATCAAAGAGGACTTCCCTGACCCCTCATCGGAGTAGTACCTCCCCAGTTATGTCAGTCGCAACCCTTTATTTCTTATAAAGTGCCTGTCAAAAATTGTGATCGTTTCATTTGTTTTTACCTTGGGGCAAAATGGGAGAAACTCTCGCTGGAGAGAGGGAAGGAGACAACACAGAGTAGCTAAAAAAAAAAAAAAAAAAACAACCCAGGAAAGTCCATAGACCCCGCTGCGCTGTCCACACGCGTGGCTCCTAGTGATTCAAAGGCGAGGTCTGTCTTCCCAGGATTGTGGAGTCAACCACTCACATTCTGCCGGAAATTCTGGTTTTAACCTTCTTGGTCAACTAGGTGATGTTCAACCCTCAGGTCCAAGCAGGAAGCACTATTTCCCAAGAATCTCTAGGAACCCCGCGTCTGGTCCCCACTAGTGCCTTTGATAACCAATAACTGTGGGCGACACAACTGTGGTCGGAATGATCGTGGCTCCGCCCCCGCGGGAGTCTGGTATTTAGAGACCTCCGTCTTTAAGATCTGCCCCTTCAACTTTCTGAGGGGCGGGGCGACGAGGGCAGCTGTCCCCTCCATCCCTCACCCCGGTTGGCGCTCACGTGTATAGGGCCGTTCAATAACAGGTCTTCTTCCGGAACTTCCTGGTCGCGGCAGCCAATCAAAGTGTTCTTCCTGTCCTTATCCTTGTCAGGCTGCTGCCAATCGGCGCGCCTCTACCAACGCCCCTTAAAGGCGCCGCCACCGCCTCCCGAGCTGCGGCGGACCAATTCCCCGGTTCCGGCCCCCGCCACAGTATGGAGTCGTCTCGGGGGCGGCCCGGGCCAGAGGGGGGCCTCCTGGCCGTGGCGGAACGAGAGGCCACGGTTTTCCACGGCGGGCCGGACCGAAGGCCCCATCAGCTGCCCTCAGGCTTGATGGTGTCCGGGGAGGAAGAGGCGGAGGACGTTGAGGGCGCGAGCCGTCACCTCAGCGCGTCCTCGAAGGCTTCGAGCAGCAGCAGCGTCCACCGGCGGGCACCCGAGGACGGGGAGGTCGAGTCCGGCCCCCGAGCCACGCCGTCTGGGGCCGGGAGCCGCCGCGGAGCCCCAGGTGGCGAGCACGACCCGCCCTCGTCCTCCCGGGACGGGCACCTCGAGCCACCCGAGGACAGGTCCGCTCCGGAGAGGTCCTGCCGTCGGGGCCCGGGAGCCGGCGAGATGGATGCGGAGCAGCTGCAGGAGGCGGAGCGAGACGGCGACGAGGAGGCCGAGGCCGAGGGCAGGGCCGGCCGCGCGTTCTGTGGCCGCCTTCAGGACAGCCGCAGCCTGGACGGGCTGAGCGCCGCGTGCGGGGGCGCCGGGGCCGAGCCTGGCGCGGGCGGCGGACGCCGCGCCACCATCTCCAGCCCTTTGGAGCTGGAGGGCACCGTCAGCCGCCACGGCGACCTCACCCACTTCGTCGCCAACAACCTGCAACTCAAGATCCGCCTGAGCGGCGCCCCTCCGCCCCTGCCCCCTGCCCCGGTGCGGCCCAGCCTGGCGCCCACACCCACGCCCACCATCCCGCCCATAGACGCTGACGTGCTGCGGGATCTGGAGCGGCTGAGTCGGGAGCTGGGCGGCCGGGTGGATCGTTTGCTTCGCGGTCTGGGTGGTGCGGTGCAGGAGCTGACTGCGCTGAGCGTGGGCTGCATCCAGACCTACCGCGACGCCGTGGACTCCTTAGGCGAGGCCGTAGACATGAGTATCAAGGGCATGTACACACTGCTGGCGCGCTGCGAGGAACTGGAGCGGGCTCTGCAACCGGTTCAGGGTCTGGCTCGTCAAGTCCGAGACATCCGACGCACTTTGGAGGTGTTGGAGGCACTGTGCAAATGAGCAGGAGGGCACAGGCCAGGGTTGGCCGGGGCGGGGCCCAGCGGGACCTTAAAGACTTATGTAGGAGACCTGGTGGGAACCGCCTGAGGGGGGCTTCTATGTTGGAGGCTTTCCCGCTGTGTCTAGCTAGCCCGTGCCCACCTGCTGGACTTAAGGAGGTGTATAAGGGAAAAATCTAACAGTTCTCCTGATGGGAGGGGATGTTGCTCTGCTTCTGTTCTGTTGGCCTTCTGTAGCTACCTATCCTGTCCTTACCAACTCTCCTCCTAGCTAGAGCACCATCCCTAGGAAGCCAGGGCTTGAGGTCTCAGCTTGAGGGTGGGGACCTGACTCCATATGAGATCAAGATAAGAAACAGAGAAAGCCTCAGCCCCAGTGTGGTCATCTTGGCTCCGGTGACCGCATCTCAGGTGCCAGGGGCTTTGGGAGCTTGAGTGTAGGCAAGGGTACACAGCTGCAGATGAGTGACCCCCACTGCTACCCTCTGCAATGCCGCTTCCCAAGCGAGAACAGGAGGAAGCCAAGAGGAATGCACTGCCCGGTGGAGATGTGAGGTGGGAGGTGTCTTGCTGCTCAGGGTTCAGGTAGAATTGTTGCCAGTCTTGAAGCCCAGCTGCTGTAGAGTGGTCTAATGCGTTTCGGCTTCCTGAATTTTTGTGGAATTAAAGTGCTGCTGCTGCTAAGGCTGAAGCTGCATCTGTGTGTGGTTGCAGGGGTTGGCTGGCCAAGAAATGGGAATGAAGGTCGGTCTTGTTCGCGGAGCTCACTTGGAGCAGTGCTGGGAGTGGGGCGGGGATTGGGGGGTCCCAGAGAAGGGTATGTTTCCTGCTGTTAGGTAGAGGATCCAAGGGGAAATTCGAGACCCAGAGGATCACACACGGAGCCCAGAGATCCGGTAAAAGCAGAAATGAAGCCAAGTTCTCCAGAAGAGGAGGAGGGAAAGGGGCTGTCCTCTCAGGCCCGATGAACAAGCTGGCAGCCGGCAGTCCACTTTTGAGTGTGGAGGAAGACGGGAACATCTGCTCTACTCCTGACCATTTGCCACAGTCCACTAATCAGAGTCACATATGATAATTTGAGACAGTCGTATCCCAAATCCCAAAAGGCTTCTGTTTGTGGTTACCATAGTTCAGGGGCCATGTGATAACACTGTGAAATTCTGATGTAGACACCACAAAACTGGTTTTTTCACACCGCTGTAAGACAGCCTCATTTTGGATTTACCTCCATCCACAACACCAGGATGGGTGTGTGTGTGTGTGTGTGTGTGTGTGAGAGAGAGAGAGAGAGAGAGAGAGAGAGAGAGAGAGAGAGAGAGAGTCTTAGTATATAGCCCAGAGGCTGGCCTCAAACTCAGGGGAATCCTAGTGTCTCAGCCACCTCAATATTAGGATTACAGGGGTTTTTACAGGTTGTGTAGAAACGAAGGTTGTTTGTCCTACACGGTGTGAAAAGTTGAGGAAAAGTAGTTTTCCCGTGACATTTTTTTCATGTGCAAAATACCACCTTAAAACTTTTACCCCTGGCCCGTACGGGGATCGAACCCGCGACCTTGGCGTTATTAGCACCACGCTCTAACCAACTGAGCTAACCGGCCAGTCGATGACACGTCCTCGATTTAATGCTATGTAAAGTTTCACTACTGCTCGGTTTTCCTGCGAAAGTTTTTAGAGCTATTTTAGAAAATAAAAAACAATCTGCAAACTGCCCTGCTGGCTATTTGGAGTACGTTAACGGCTCAGCTGCAATACCGATTCTGGTGCATTTTTTTGGAGACAGGATCCCTATGTTGTCCATAGCTGGCTTTAAACTCGCTCTGGCGTCCAGGCTCGGTCTCAGACTTGCAGGAATAGTCTTGTCAGCCTGCTGGGATTACAGGGGCGCCACCACGCCCTGTCTCTGGCTCTTGGCTGTAAATCTAAATTACAAATATGACATGAGAAGCAAGGCGTGTGGTGTACACGAGGGGCAAAGCATTATCAAAATACGCTCAGAGTACTGCATAGAGTAGATTCAACCGAGTAAGAAGTTCTCAGCTTAGGGAACATGACCTGAGTACGTCCACTCTGTAACCCAAGCTACGAAGGGCCTGGAACTCAGGACCTCCTTTTCACTAGATGGGTGATTTAGCCAACTCAGCAATGGTTACGCAGCCAGCTAACGTTGGGTGCCCTAATTTCTTGGACAGTCCAGCTCCAGGACCGGACTGTGAACACGTGTGCACTCCCACTGGCTCTTGGCAGTGGAGGAAAATGTAGCAAAATCGACAACAGACGTGGCAGGAAAAGCAGGACTGCAGGCATGCGAGGAGCCCTATGCCGCAGGGAGGGTAACGCAAAAGCCTGCTCTGGGATTACAAAAGCTGCAGGATACCCCAGCGGGGGGGTACCGACGAGGATGGGATTCGAACCCACGCGTGCAGAGCACAATGGATTAGCAGTCCATCGCCTTAACCACTCGGCCACCTCGTCCACGCTGCGAGCCTGCAAATTCTTTTCTCTGGGGTTTGAACTCGGTCCCGCTCGCTTAGTCCGCCTCTGTGTCTAGGAAGCCTGCTCGGGAGCCGGAGAAGAGATCGCGGCATAAACCCTGCTCCTGGTAGGCTGCACCCAGAGCTGAGCCTGTCATCTGGAACCCGGCTGTCCGCCCAAAATTACCAGGATCCGCCACAAAACAGTCCTGGGGATTGCTGGAGCCTCCCGGATAGTTTTTTTTTTTTTTTTTTTTTTTTGCAATAATCCGCCCAACTCCAGACTCTTCTTTTCTTTTTTTCGGGCCCGCGTGCTAGATTTAGGAATAAGGGGAACGAAATTGGACCCAGAAAAAGAACCTGACCCCGACGTGATTTGAACACGCAACCTTCTGATCTGGAGTCAGACGCGCTACCGTTGCGCCACGAGGCCGGCCAGGAGGAAGCGTGGACAGGTTTCCCTTTGGCCATTGCTCGTCCAGGCGGCTGGAGGCCGGCTGCTCGGTCTACCGGGTGGACGCTGGGCCGGCAGGCCGAGCCTTGCGGCTGGTGCCCGCCCACCGGGGTTCGGAGGCCTCATCGGTGCCTCCCACCCTGCCCTGGAGCGCCACGCTGTGGAACGCCGAGCGGGAGCGGGGCGCTGACCTGATCACCAAGGAACCCCGATCTCACAGCCCGGCGAGGACTGTCCAGGATCACACAGAGACCGACGCCTGGCAGACCACGGCGGGGCCGGGCCAGCGTCCAGGACCCCCGAAGCCGCAGGCCATGACTTCCTCCAGCAGGGTGCAGACTCCTGCGGGACCTTCAGAAATCCCCAGCCCAGTCCCCAGGTGTGGAGATTCTAATTTTTAAACCGGTTTGGGAAAGCCCTGCCATTAGCAAGTAAAAATCTTTGGGGGAAATAAATTCTGCACTTAAATTGTTTTTGTACTTAAATTTTTGAGGCATAATTTACACACAGCAAAAAGTACGGATAGGTTTTAAGTGTATGTTTCAATGAATTTTGACAAATACAGCCTCACATCTCTTTCAAGATACATAGGCTATTTCCGCTCCTCCAGAAAATTCTCCCTCTGACCCTTCCCGGTGGATTCCTGCCCATCCCCAGAGCAACCCAGATTTTTTTCAACAGCTTTCTTGAAAGTTATTAGAAATCACAGAGATGTCAAAGCTCACAGAACTTCCGAGGCCTGGCATTAAGTGACCCTGGGTAATAACTCTAAGGATCTTGTTCTCCCACAACATTGATCTGCTGACCGTAGTTACCCCCATGAGTCTCTCTTTTGCGGTTTGTTGTTGTTGTTGTGGTTTTTTTTTTTTTTTTTTTTTTTTTTTTTTTTTTTTGAGACAGTTTCACCGTGTATAGCCCAGACTGGCCTCAAATTTACCGTCTTTCAGGTCTTGGCCTCTTCAGTGCTGAGATTGCAGGTGTATGCCACCACACCCAGCTCGTTTTGTTTTTTTTTTGAGCCTCACTATGCAGTCCAGGGTGGTCTTGTACTTCCTGTGGAGCCCAGGATGACCTAGAACGCACTGTGATCCTCCCGCCTCAGCCTCCTGAGTGCTGGGATTACAGGTGTACTCTGCCACTCCGGGCTTCTGTCCTTACTTTCAATCCTTGTGAGCTTTGACATCTCTGTGGTTTCCTCTTGCTGCTTCCTTCTCCCAGGCAAGATGAGAACTATCAGGTAGTGGTTTAGGGTGACTTTTCTCCCTGCTGTCTTTTATAATTCAGTATAGTCACACATTCTGGCTTATGGTGTTTGTTTGTTTTGTTTTGTTTTTGTCTTTTTGAGACAGGGTCTCTCTGCAGTCCAGGCTGGCCTTGAACTCACTTTGTAGCCCAGGCTGTTCTAGAACTCGCGATGATCCTCCTGCCTCAGCCTCCTAACTACTGGGTGAGCCACCGCATCCAGCTTTTGGTTTATGTTTTGATCAACTTGGATTTCAATCTGGGGGAATATTTTGGTACTCTTATGGGGTCATCATATTGTTAATATAAGAGCAGCAACCCAGAATTTTTTTTTCTTGCAACTCAGAATTTTAAAAAGAAAAAAATTCAGGTAAAAGAATAGGTCTATAATTATAGAGGGAAAGAATCAAGAAATCTTTCAGAGAAGTTAGAAAGAAGAGAGAGAAAAGGATTCATTGTCTCTGCCTTTATGAGCCTGTGCAGGATGGCAGCTTCAGAGACAGACTTCCGCCATGCTGTGTCTCAACGAAACAACCTGATCTCAACACCATAGGTACATCGGATTTAATACATGTCACTATCCTGATCTGGATCGATCGATCAATCAATCAATCGACTGATTTTAGGCTGCCCTTGACCTCCCTACATAGCCCAGGCTGGCCTCAAACTTGTGGCAATGCTCCTGCCTCAACCTCCAAGTGCTGGCATTACAGGTGCCATTCCTGGCTTCTGGCTCTTTTAAAAAGTAATACAGGAAAAGCAATAGTGAAGAACAGCTCAGATCAGCTTTGTTATTTTGAGGACGAGCTTTATAGACAAGCAGCGACACTAGGAGAGATTCCTAGCGATGCTTAAATCTGTGCAGCTGTAGTTTGTAATAGCTAAACCCTGGAAACAGTCCCAACGCCCATCAACTGATGAACGGATAAAGAAGGTATGAATTTTTATAAGATAGAGTCCTACTCTGCCATAAAGAAAGATAATCTTGAGATATTTCTAGGTAAATGTAGGCACCTTGAGCCCCTATTCTTAAATGAAATAAATCAGACACCCATGTGTAAACGCCACATTGTTTCTGTGGTATGAGAAGCCAGAAGTGTAAATAAGGACCAAAATGTGTAACAGATACTGTGAAATAGGAAGGGAGGAGCGAGGAGGAAAGGAAAAATGAGAAAAGAAAAAAAAAAGAAACAGCTTTTTGTAAATAGGGAAGGAAAGAAAGGCTGAAGGGAGGTAGAGGGATGGGGAAAAAGAGAATCAAGATACATCATGTATAGGTACAAATTCCTTATGATGGATGTGGTCATAACGTGTACCTAAAATGTACCAATAAACAATTAGAGACAAAACAAAACAAAAAAATCTGTGCTAATAAATTGATTGCTTTCAATGAGTTGCTTATGTTTTATTCACTCTTCTGTTTGCTGATGGTTAAGTTAACATAAAAACAATGAATGATCCAGACCTCCAAAATAATTTTAATTAAAAAGTAGCCAGGTGTGGTGGCGTATACCTGTAATCTCAGCACTCAGGAGGCTGAGGCAGGAGGATTGCCCCGAGTTCAAGGCCAGCTTGAGCTACAAAATGAAACCATGTTTCCAAAAATAAAATAAAATAAAATTGAAAAGCAGGCTGGGCTATGCAGGCGATGCATGCCTATAGTTGGAACTACTTGGGAGGCTGAGACAGGAGGATTTCAAGTTCAGAGCCTGTATCAAAATTAAAAAATAAAAACGGCTGAGTATTTAGTATAGTTGTAGAGTAACCCTATCACACACACACACACACACACACACACACACACACACACACACGAAAGCAATCCATATAAACTTTAGAAGCATTTTGTTGACGTGTGCGAAGTAAGTATATTGGCTTTTTGATGATGTCTAGAATTTGCTTCAAAACAACCCAGTGGGAGTTGGGAGATGCTATTGCTGAATCGAGGCTGTGTGTTGGTAATGGTTGAAGCAGAAACTATTCGAAAACCTACTACGGTTTCACAGGAGCTTAATATACCATTTCCTGAGCTGGGAATTTAGCTCAGCGGCATAAGTGCCTGCCTTGCAAGCGTGTGGTCATGAGTTGGACCTCCGGTACCGATAAAAAATTTAAAATATATATATATATATATATATATATATACCATTTCCTGTATTTTACATAATTTTGGCTTTTTCACTAGTTCAGATATTCGGACATGGGGTCCTACCCTAAAGTGAATGGTCATTTCGGGAGGCACGTCCAGACACCAGCAGTACCTCTTATGACCACAAGGTGGCTCTAAAACTCAGAAGTGGCTTCTCTCTAGGCTTCTGCGATCCAAAGTGACAGAAAATCACAGGCCATGCTTGTCATTGTTCCATGTCAGGCAATGCGATTGCTCAGTTCTTGCTACCTAGTATTCCCCTGGGCAGGAAGCCTAATGAGCAGAATGCCCCGAGACTTCAGCTCCTGGAACCCGAGATCTAACAGCCATTTTAACCTCTTTCTCACCTGCCCCCATGCCCACACCTTTATCATGTAAATCTCTTTTGACTTTACCTACTTTGCTGTACTTTCTTGAGAGGGCCCTCCCCGCTGCAACCCCCCAGCTGTCCCTTGTAGATTATTCTGTGTCTTCCTCTTTTCGTCTTTTGAATAAAACGCATTCTACATGTTGCAACCAGTCATCTGGAACACAATCTGCCTATGGCTCTCTTGGTAGCTACAAGACCCCACATCACCTGTTTTGCTTTGTATGTATGTATTTATTTATTTCTGAGATGGGGTTGCGCTATGTAGCCTTGAACTTGCTGGGATTTCCTGGCACAGGCCCCGGCAAGTGCTGGGATCACGGGCTAAAACCTGATGGCATCTGGCTCTGTGTCTTCCAGGCTTAGTCCACTCTTCTCTTCCTCTTCTGTCACCAGGTTTCAGAAACGCTGCCTCCCTTTCTCATCACCAGCACACTGGGCTTATTGCCATCCCTCACGGGCACTCTGGAGTGCTCCTGCCCCGTTTTCCACATCCCTGGTTCTTTCTCTTTGTTCTATTCAGGGACCTTGGAAAACCTTGTAAAAGCAGGTCCTAGATTCTCCTGGGTGTTGCCCTATGACACTGCTTCCTTTCTCTGGGAACAACCAGACTTGACAAACTAGGAGTTTGGCCTGAGTTTTCTATGCTTAGGAGAAAATGCTTGTAAATTACAGGCAGAGAGAAGAAAAACATAAATTCTCCAGTCCTTATATTTCATGTGTGCCTCAAGAGTGCCACATGCTTGCTGAACTATTAGTTTCTGTGTTGGGTACATAGGATGCTTATCTCTCACTGTAACATGAGTCATCAATCGTTTTTTGGTTTGTTTTTTTTTTAAACAGGGTCTTGCTATGTAGTTCAGGGTGGCTTGAACTCATTATGTAGCCCATGCTGGCAGAGAACTCAAGGCATTCATCTTGCCTGACTCTTGAGCCCTGGAATTACAGGCATGCACCACCATGTCCATCTAACTCTTACTAATTTTGGGGTCTAATGGTAATGAAGGTTACTTCAAGAGAGAAAAGCAGTTGTGCTCACTGTCCTTGTGGTTTTGCTTGTCTGTCCTGAGATGAGGGAGGTTTGAAAAAATTTTAGAACTTTGACAAGTCCAATAGTCAAGACAAGAATCTTCTTTACATCAAAGCTAAGAAAACAGTTTAAAGCCGGTGTAGTGGCACATGCCTGTAATCCCAGGACTTGAGAGGCTGAGGCAGGAGGATCATTGCAAACTCAAGACCAGGCTGGGCTACAAAGTCAGCTCAAGACTGGCCTGAATTGCATAGCAAGACCCCTGTCAAAAAGACAAAAAAAAAAAAAAAAACCAGCTTAGGTAATATTTGATTAGTATGCAATATTATTTGACTAAAAAAGAAAAGGACTTTGCCAAATTTTGCTCTTTCAAAAACTAATTCCTGGGCTGGGGATTTAGCTCAGTGGCATAAGAACCTGCCTTGCAAATGTGTGGTTGTGAGTTCGATTAAAAAAAAAAAAAAAAAGCTAGTCAAAAACTAATTCCTAGCTAGGCATGGTAGTTAGAATTGGGTGCATTTGGCTGCATTTCTTTGAGACTCAGGGAAACAGAAACATATTTTATTTCACTTTAGCCAAATTCCCTAAAACAAAGTTTGAAGGGGGGATGGCTTATTATCTTGATCGTATCTTGATCACATTAATTTAGTCTATCCCTTCAACATTTTTTAATTACAGCACCAATTACCTTGCAGGCTATTTGTTTTCTTGCTTGCCAGAAGTTGCTGCCTAAAATATAAATTGGAGGAAGGTAGAACCTTTATTACCAAACATTTTCCCACAGCACAGAACAGTACCTGACATTTACTAGATGGCTAATAGGTATCTGTGGACTAAGAAATGCCTCTTGGGCTTGTCATTTGCATGAGTTTAAAGGCACAGAGCTGAGGAGTAGGAAGGAGAGATTGTTCTTCTGGGAACAGGGCTGCAGGTCCCTTAAGGATGGAACTTGACTGTGTGCGGCGAGCGAATGTGGAATTTTCTGATCTGCAGGGATTCCTGCTGAGGCCTAGAGGTCAGGCAGGTCGCCGGTAGTAAGAAGCAATGTCGGGCCTGGGACCTCAAAGCAATAACGAAATCAGAGTTGGGACCAACCGTATGCCTCCTAGGGACGCAGACTGTTCCATTCCTTTCCTTTCTTTCACTCCCAATCCCTCCACTTTCCAGTCTTGGTGATCCATTCCGCTCCCCAAAGTCAAATGTCTCCCGCACCCTACTTCCAGGGAGCTAGCAGTTTTCCGCATTCTGCAAATCCCTCAGCAGAGAGACCACCCGTCGGAGGGCAATCCGAGTCTCCCCAGGCAGGTCGGGGTCTGGAATCCCCCAGTAATCAAAGGCTCCAGGAAAACACGCAGCTGTCAGATAGCCTAGGACTCGCCTGCCTCTCCATCTCGGTACCTTTAACTCCTAGCGCCAAGGTATCGGGAAGCTAAAAGGATACAGAGGACGGGAAGGGGAGAGTCCAAGCCTTGGACCTGGTGGCTACTGTCTCGGGTGACTAAATGGAAGGGCCATCCTGGAACACACCTGAGCCGCGCGGCTCCGAGCAGGGTGGACTTCCGTTCGCCAATCACCATCACCACCACCACCCCGGACAGTTTTGGCGATGTGGGACTTGCCAAGTTCACACTCCTAGTGGGTAACAGCCCCGCGGACACAGAGAAGTAGCCCTAGCTCATCTCCTGCGCCGGAGCTGTTCCGGAAGCGCTTAGTGGCGGGAGAACACTGTTCTCGCGAGATTTCAAAGGGACGCAGCCCCTACGTACGCAGTTACCAAGGCAACTGGGCGGTGCCAGGATGCGCGGGACCAGTGTAAGAAGGTGGTTTGCAGACTTGCAGACTTCCAGAGTACTGCTTGGACTTTAGACTGCGGCCTCTGCTCCAGGAGGGACCCCTGTGCCCGAAGGCCATGGGTCGGATCTCAGGCCTCGTTCCCTCTCGTTTTTTGACGCTTTTGGCGCATCTGGTAGTGGTTATCACCTTATTCTGGTCCCGGGTAAGGCGCACCGTTCCCCTTCAGCCTCTGGTTTTTCCACCTCTTTGTAGTCCCAGGGTAACCCCTCCCCCAGAATTTATCTCCTCGGGTTCTCCCTTTCCCGGTCGCCCCCGGTCCTGCCCCGCAGCCTGCCCTTTTTCACTTATTTTTCTTTCTGCCCTGTTCCGCAGGACAGCAACATCCTAGCTTGCCTGCCTCTCAAGTTCACGCCTGAGGAATATAAAAAGCAAGACATTCAGTGAGCTCTTGGGCAGGGTGGTTTCGACGAAGAGGTGGTGGGATGGTAGAGTCTTCAAGATCTAGAGAGCCTGATCCAATCCCTTTCTTCTCTACAGGTTGGTGATAGCACTCTCTGTCACCCTGGGCCTCTTTGCAGTGGAGCTGGCCGGTTTTCTCTCAGGAGTTTCCATGTTCAACAGCACTCAGAGTCTCATCTGTATCCTTCCTGCCCGTCTTCCTTTCCCACACCACCTATTTCCATCACGACTCCCTTCAGCCATCTAAATAGTACTTTCTGACACTAGAGTCTCTGGCCTGGCTGAAAAAGAGAATCTCAGGGGCCAGGGATTGTGTAGCTCAGCGACACGGTGCTTGCCCCTGCATAGCAAGTTCGAGACTCTGAATTCTATTCCTGGTACAGGGGTGGGGAGCGGGGATCTTAGGCAGTGTGGAGGATTTAATACACCCAAGACATTTAAGCCCAACTGTGTACCAGACACTGGAGACATCTAGATGTCTTCAAAACAGCTTCCTCTCTTGAGGAGCAAGCAGACATATATCATCCATAAGTCATCAATCTGATAAACATCAGGCTACACGAGTGTTTAAAAATATGAAGCACTGTGAGAACTTAGAAGAGACCAAAAGAGTGAGGCACATAGATCAAAGAAAGTTTCTGAACTGGACCAGGAGGACCAGGGCACCAGAATGTGATCCCATCAGAGTGGATCAAGTCTCTGCATCACCCGGAGAGTCCAGGATGGCTCTGGGTATACGGTGGCGGTCCCTAAAACTCAGATGACTGGGCTGCTGCTGATTCCAGCCCTAACCCTACCACTGGTCTTTTCAGATGCATCATTACCTGTGGATCCAAAGACTTTCCTTCACTCTAGTGTGTTTCCAAGCCATTGGGGCTCACTGTAGTGCCTCGGTGGCCCTATCCTTCTTCATATTCGAGCGTTGGGAGTGTACCACGTACTGGTACATTTTTGTCTTCTGCAGGTGCGGTAGCATTCACTGTCTGGGAATAGAGGGAAGGTTTAAACCAAACCTGGGGTTTTCCCCATTCAGTCCTCCTGTTTCCCCCAGGTTCACCCTCATGGCACTCCGCTGTACTTTGGAGGTGGGAGTCTCTGGTTAGGAAATGTGGGTGTTTATCCTGCAAGAGGTTCTGAACCTATCACGTACTTCCCACAGTGTCCTCCCAGCTGTCACGGAAGTGGCATTATTTGTGGCTGTCTTTGGGCTGAAAAAGAAACCTTTCTGATCATCTTCATGGCAAGAAAATAGAGACGAAGACCGGAGGAACCAGGAGTCCTGGAAGAAGAAAGGCACAGGTTTCTGTCCTTTCCCTCCATGGCCACCCTCACCTGCGACTGTTTTTGGTAGAGAGTGGTGATGTTGGGGTGATTAGTCTGGAATCTGGGATTAGTGTTTTACTTGTGTTTTATAATAAAATATATTTATAATGAGACCAAGCCTTACAATTTCGTAAGACAATTAGGGTGGCCAAACTGCTGGAGAAAAGAAAAGCAGTTTCGCAGCTCTATAGGTGTAAATTATTTGTATCGCTTCTATTTTGTGTTTTACGGTAGAGGGCGGTCGGCCTGCGGAAAGGAAGTGGGCGGAGGCATGTAAATAAGTGCTGCGCCCAGAGCGACTAGCGCGACGTGAGTGAGGCATTGTGGGAGGGAGTTAGTTTCTCCATTTTTGGCCGCCGAATGGGGAATAAAATAATTTTAAAGATGTCCGAATAAATGATGCACTAAGAATTGAAGAGTGCTACGTAACAGTTGTACAGACAAACTTGTTATGTAATCACCCTATCTTGTTGTGGAATCTTTTCTGCTGAGTAGGGAAATGTATGGTTGTCTTGTTATCGTCAGGTGGGATAATCCTTACCTGTTCCTCCTCTGGAGGGCAGATAGAACGTGATGATTGGAGTACCGCATGACACGTGATTAGTGTGCTGCGTAATCAGGACTTGCAACACCCTGATTGCTCCTTTCTGATTCTTCCTGACGATCACACACTCTTTTTTTTGCCACAGATAGACTAAGTATGCAAAGTAATACTCGTTTAAGGGCTGTAGCGTTTGGGTTATGTTGTTAGCATTACGTTTAAGTAGTTATTTGGAGTATGCTTGTGCTTCTGAGGTAGGGTTTTCTCTGTACTTTATCGTGAGTTTAGGTTCAATTTACATCCTACGTTGGTCTCTGTTACTTACTGCCTCAGCTTCAGCCTCCGAAATACTGGGGTTAATGTTAGGGGGCGATAATGCTCTGCCCTGCTTATCGTGGAGATTTAAGGCTGCGGCAACGAAACTGAGTTACGTTGGAAGTCTGATGAGAACAGTGCTATTCTTGCATGCTAATATTAGGAAGCATGTTTACAGGAAGATGTTAAACATGTACGTGCTATGCTAGTAAGCATTATATAAGCAAATGAGAAAGTCTTCTGTTGTGCCTGCTATTAGTTGGATGTTACCAGATTCAATGCATGGTTGAAGATTCTCTGTAAGGATTAATTTGCCTCAAGTAAGTGGGAGAATTGTTGCTTCCAAAAGAGCAAATTGAGGTCCTGGAGTTTGGAGGGAGCAGATTAGTGTGAGAGCATAGTGTAGGGAGGCAGGTGGGTATGTCTTGCTGGCCATGATAGGGAAAGTCTGCTGCTCCTACTGACTTGGAAAAATGGTTTTCCATGAACTTCATGGGCTGGTTGTTAAACAGGGCCATTAAAAACAACCGGGTGTGATGACCCATGCGTTTAATCCCAGCTCTCATGACGCTGATGCAGGAGAATAACCAAGTTCAAGGTTAGCCTAGATTATATAATTCAAGACCAGCCCGAATAACATGATAAGACCCTATCAATTAATAAATGCATGCAGGCTATTGTGGTGCAGATCTGTAATCCCAGCACTCTGGGAGGCTGAGACAGGAGAACAGCAAGTTTGAGCACAGCCTGGGCAATTTAGCAAATTAGTGAGACCTTGTCTCAGAAAAAGAAAAGAAAAAGCCAAAGATGTAGTTCAGTGTGAAGTCCTGGATTGAGTTACCAATACTACACCACAAATAAACAGTTTGTCACGCGCCTGTAATCCCAGCTACTGGGGAAAATGAGGCAGGAAGATCACAAATTCAGGACTATCCTGGGCAATTTAGTAAGACTGTCAAAAAATGAATGCAAATTTACATTCATGTTAAATTGAAGCTAGAGGTATAATCTTCAGTGGTAGAGTGCATATATAGTAGTGTATGTTCAAGGCCCTGAATTCAATCCCCAACACCAAAAACTTTTTTTTTTTTTTTTTTTTTTTTTTTTTGAGACAGAATCTCACTATGTAGCCCAGGCTTGACTCTGGGAGGCTGAAGGAGAGGATCACAAGTTTGAGCCCAGCCTAGACAATTTATTAAGACCCTGTCTCAAAGTAAAAATGTAAAATAGGTTGGGGATTAGCTCAGTGAGAAGGCTTTGGCCTCAATCCCCCCGGGAGGGGGGGAATGTGCTATATCTTTTAACTGTTACATCTTGAACAACACAATCCAAGTAATTTTCTCAAGTTTTGAACACTAGTATCAGATCTGAGATTCAACAAAAAAGTCAGTCACTGAAGAACAGTGAAGTTTGAACATGTACCTTCACAGTTTCTTCTTTGTAGTTCTCATACCTGTAAGTAAAAAATAGCCAGTATCTCTCTCTGTTAGAACTATCCTTGTAATCAGGATACAACTCCATATCTGAAATCAAACACAAGGATGTCGTATACAGTAAAAAATGCCGTACATTGCACGGGGCATGGTGATGCAATCTGCAGCACTTAGGGAGGTTGAGGCAAGAGGATCACCAGTTTGTATCCTACCTGGGCAATTGTTTAGTGAGACCCTGACTTAACAGTCAGTCAATAAGGGCTAGAAATGTAGCTCACTGGTAGAGCAATGGGTTGAATCTACCAGTACTTAAAAAAAAGAGAGAATATTGCAAATGTTATTAATTCCAACAGGAAACTACTACTACTCACTAGTGGCTTTTTTTTTTTTTTTTTTTTTTTTTTTGAGACAGGGTTTCACTATACAGTTCAGGCGGCCTTGAACTCACTTTGTAGCCCAGGCTGGCCTCAGACTTGCAGTGATCTTCCAGTCTCAGCTTCCAGAGTACAGGGATTACAGGCGTGCACCACCATGCCTGGCCACTATTGGCCTTCTTCTTCCCAAATCCAGAGACAGTTCCCAGAATTCAACTTGATCTCTTTTTAGCATTTAGTCTGTTGACCACTTCCTCTCTCTTTGTGCCTCGAATCTAGATGTCCCCCAAAGCCGCATGTGCTCATAGATGGGGCTTTTCAGAGTCAGTGGGTCAGCATGTGTGCTATCTGGATTAATCCCCTAAATGGATTAGCATAGTTCTGGGGTGGCTGAATGGATTGAGGATGCCCCATCCCGGCTGTGGGTGGCACCAATCAGGCTTTGAGCTTGAGACAATATAAAGGGACAGAAAGAGGGCAGGCTCGCTGCTCCCTGCCCTGGACTGTTTCTCCTCTGCCAAGCCGCCCTGCCTTGGAGTCAGCCAACTCAGGGCTGAAACCTCTAGCATAACCCTTTCCTCCTTTAACTTCTGGGTGCAACAAAAGTAAAAGACAGCCTCCTTTTTTCATTTTCCCCCTCTGTGTGAGGGACTGAACCCAGGGACTGAGCAAGTAGACTTTCTACCACCTAGCCCAAGCCCTACCCCTCCCTGTGTTTCGGGCCTTGCTTCCATTGCTTTGGGAACAGTGGTTGCCTTCTACTGTGTTTTGGCTGCTTCTCAAATTTATTAAATATTTATTTGTTTAAATGAAGTGGGTGTCAGTCCCTTTTTCCTGTGCTTGCTTCCTAAGTATTGGGGGGCAATCACTAACCTCCTTGCCTGACTTCATTTCTTTCTTTTTTTGTCTTTTTCGTTTTTATCGGTACTAGGGATCGAACTCACGACTGCCTACTCAAGGCAGGCGCTTATGCCTGCTGAGCTAAATCCCCAGCCCCGCCTGACTTCATTTCTGATCTACTGCTGTGCCTTGGGTGGAGTCCAAAACCTTCACATGGTAGACAGTTACCCCACCCCTGAGCCCACCCTGAACCCCACGCACCTCTTGTCTCCAGTACCACCTGAATGCTATTGGTTTCCAAATCTCTGTTGTCAGATTCTGGAGCAAAGTTTGGAGCCAGTAGCCTGCTGGGGTCCCAGTGCATCAGAAAGAAGTTTTCATTTTCTTGTGAAATTTGTGACATTGTGGATCTGAAGACTGGCTGCAATATTTCAGACCCTTGCTACCAAAGCCTGCCACCTGATCCCTGAGCGATAGCCCAGAGTCCTCTCTCCGTTGATTCCTTTCCAGGAGTTACAAGTCTGCCTCAGAGGGCCCTAGATCTGCCTCTGGTGACCTTTTCCATCAAGGTTCAGGGCCATCAGCCACTTAAAGAGTACTCGAATGAACTGTATTGAATCTGTTTGCTGATTTTCTGTAAAACATGCCTGTGTGTGGCTGGGAGTGGTGGCATATGCCTGCAATCCAGTGTCCTGGGAGGCTGAGGCAGGAGGATTGAAGTTTTGAGGCCAGCCTGGGCAATTTAGTGACTTATTGAGACTGTCTCAAAGGAAAAAATGAAAAGGGGCTGGGGATATAGCTCAGTATGAAGGCCCTGAGTTTAATCCCCAATACCCCCAAATAAACATAATAAATAAGAATATACCTGTATGTGAGCAGTACTGTCCTGCACCTAATGTTTGTGTGAGGAGGTACTGGGGATTGAACTTGGGGCCTTAATGCTTGGATTATATCCCGTAGCCCTTTTTTTATTTTGAGACAGCATCTTGCTAAGTAGCCCCCCTAGGGCTCAGACTTGTGGTTTTCCTGTCTCAGCCTCCCAGAATGCAAGGATTACAGACGTGCACCACCAGACCTGGCTCTTGCACCTAACTTTTTGACCAAGCATGGGAGTGTGGTGGCGTGAGCCTCAAGCTCAGCTCAGGTCAGTTCACAGCAGTATCTCACAGGGTAATCGAGGAGATTAACTGAGACAATCAAAGTGCTGGGGAGACCTATGTTGAAGGCTCAGTGCCCAACATGTTTGTCTGTTTTTGTTTGTTTGTTTGTCTTTTTCCTTTTTACCGGTACCAGGGATCGAACTCACGACTGTCTACTTGCAAGGAAGGGACTTATGCCGCTGAGCTAAACCCCCAGCCCCCTGTTTTGTCTGTTTAACATCCACCATTTTTCTGGTAACGGCACCCCCATCCTCCCTGGGAGGCCCTTTCCTGTTAGCCCTGTGGTCAGCAGGTACCCCCTCCTGCCCATCAGTATCTCTGCTGGCCAGGCAGCCCCTAGCTCAGGCCTGGCCAACAAAAGCACTTGTCCATTTGCCCAACCACACTGATGGTTCAGGCATAAACCTTGATAAGCCAGCAGGAGAAATCCTGCTGTAAACTCAAATGCTTAAAACAGCCATGCAGCAGCTGCGTAATTATTCAGGCCAATGGGAAACACTGGGAAGTCCAGCAATAGGTAATACAGAGAATCTAGTGGATGATAAGGGTATCACCTAAAAGTAAGCCAGAAACTGCTGGGTGTGTACCCAAAAGAATTGAAACAGCCCATATTCAGACACCATGTCAGTAGCAAGATTAGTCACAGAGCCCAAAGGCAGAGCGGACTGTGCGCTCTGCGTGGGAGCACAGGTGAACCAAACTGGCTCCCACATGCACTGGGCACTGCAGGGCTACCGAAGGAAGCAGGTCCTGTGGGGCTGGGGATGAGAGGGGAGACAGTGAGCAAAGGGGCCCAGTGGGATACCAAGGTAATTTCTGACACTCCCTAGCACACCAGGGTAAATGTGGTTGACAACATGCATTGATTGTTTCAAAACAGCTACTAAAAAGGATTTTCAACACAAATAGTAGGTATTTGACATGACAGATATGCCAGTTAACCTGATCTGTTTATTATACATTGTGTACTTGCTTTAAAATGTCAAGCCAGACCCCACAAACATGTATAGTTACTATGCGTCAATTAAAAACAGAAATATAAGCTGGGCATGGTGGCATATTTCTGTAATCCCAGCACTTGGGAGACCGAGGCAGGAGGATTGCTGCAAGTTCAAGGCGATTTAGCTCAGCGGCATAAGTGCCTGCCTGGCAAGCACGAGGTTCTGAGTTTGATCCTTGTTACAAAAAAACACAAAACAATAACAACAACAAAAACATGAGTTCAAGGCCAGCCTGAACTATATAGTGGAACCCTGTCTCAAAAAGACAAACAAAGGGGCTGGGGATTTAGCTCAGCAGCATAAGCGCCTGCCTTACAAGCAGGCAGTCGTGAGTTTGATCCCTGGTACCAAAAAAAGACAAAAAAAAAAAAAAAAAACCCAGACAAATGAATAAATAAAAATAGAAATGGTGGGGATGTAGCTCCGCGCAAAAGCCCTGTGTTGTCTGTAGTACTGCTAACAAAACTGGTTACACATCCACCAAAATTGCAGTAACCAAAACAACAAACAGCTATGCCCTTGGACGCAGAATTTTCATATGTAGGAATTAATCCTGTGTATTTGCATATAGGTAAAGTGGGAAAGTATAGGTTATTCTTTGCAGCTTTGCGTATTTTGGCAGAAAGTCAGAAACTACCTAAATGACTATCTAGAGAGAACTGGTTAAATGATAATATAGCAGCTGGACATGGTGGCTCCTGCCTGTAATCCCAGCACTCAGGAGGCCGAGGCAGGAGGATCACTGGAGTTCGAGGCCAGCCTGTGCTACACAGTGAGCTCAAGGCCAGCCTGGACTGCTTTGAGGCCCTGTCTCAAAAAGAAAAAATAAATTATAATATAACTATATAGTGGATGCAGTACTAGGCCAGAAGCAAAAAGTGGATTCTGTGCACCGTCATGGAATATTCTCCAAGATGCATGAAGTCATCAAAGCCAAGTGCGGAACGATGCACACAGTGTGCTTCATCAGTGGGGAGAAGCAGCGGATTAGCCGGGTGGCGGTATACGCTTGTAATCCAGCTGCGCTGCAGGCTGATGCAGGAGGACTGCAAGTGTGAGGCCAGCTTGGGCCATTTATCAACATTTCTTCCAAAACAAAATAAAAAAGACTAGACACATAGTTCGTGGCTCCCTAAATTCAATCCTTAGTATTTAAAAAAAAAAAGAAAGAAAGAAAGAAAAAGCAGGGGATTTAGCTCAGCGGCATAAGCGCCTGCCTTGCAAGCAGGCAGTTGTGAGTTCGATCCCCGATACCGATAAAAAGGAAAAAGACAAAAAAAAAAAAAGGCAAAGTGGAAAATTATGGACATGATGGTTTATATACAGGTAACTGGGGAAATTGGTTGTTGTAAGGAAGCAGACGGAGCTGCTGGGGTACAAGGAGAGTTCTGAACTATGCTCCGGTCCGGTGCTGCAGCTCAGACCCCGGCACCTGGTTAGTTTGCCCAGGCTGGTTCTGCCTCAGCCTCACAGTTAATTGGAATCTTGACTCTGGCCTTAGTGCCTGGTTTATATGCTTTTTTGAACTTTTCCCATTTTGAACATAAATTTTAAAAATATACAACCTGTAACACTGTATCAGATGCCAGCATGCAGCTGCGAGCACTGAGGTCTAGCATTGAAACTGAGGCGGAGGCGAGGAGCGCGGAAGAACACCCACCGAGTACCTGAAGCTGCTCTGCGTATGTCTGTGCCAGTCATGCGCGCCGTCGGATTCTTCCTTTTGGTTTAAATCTGTCTGAGTCCGCTTCACGACTGTCTTGGTCATTAAGTTCATCGCAGCAAGGCTGGACTGTGTTTTAAGGATCTCTTTTCCTGTGTGTTATTGTAGCTTCTGAAGCTGGCACATTGCCTGGCATTGTAGAATGAAAAAGCTGTGGTTAAACAAATAAGGGAAATGAAGCCCAAGAAAAAAGCTCCATGATACCATTCAGAGTGGGACTACAGCTAGAACCCCAAGTTTCCTAGTTGCCAGGGCCAATCAGATGACTCAGTCTAATGTGTGTTTATTGAGCATGTACTATGTGCTAGACTCTGGGCATAGCGCACAATATGGAAGGATATAAAGGCATAGATTCTTGATAGCTATTTTTTTGTGTGTGCTGGAAATGGAACCCAGGCAGGCACTGCACTGCTGAGCTCTATCTCCAGCCCTGTAGCTATACTGTTTGGAAGGGGATTTTCTCCTCCCATCAGACAAGCTTGTTGTAAACCTTATGAATCTCTAATGAGTAGTGATTGGAAAGAAGGGACCAGATGGCCTCCCAGGCTCTCTGTCCCCAAAGACTGATGAGCCTGGATCTTATCCTGCACACACCAGAGCTCTGGGAAAGACGCATCACGGCCCACACTTGCCTGCTCTGCTGTAGTGAAGAGCCGTCTCCCTGTCCAGACTCACAGCAAGTGATCAGATTTTCACCAGCCCAAGCAGGACTGCCCTCCGGGAACACTGAGCACACAGGTCCTGTCCAAGTTCATCTCCCCAGGACAGGCGACTAGGAGCCTATCCGCCTGCTGGGTTCTTTTTTATGTGTTTTAGAGCTTCTTTTAAATATGTAAAATTTCTTTTGTAGTCAAACCCAGGGCTTCTGGGTTAGTCAAATGCTGTACCATTGAGCTCCCAAGTTTTTATAAAGATCTTTTTTTGGTAGTTGTCTTTTGAAATCCTCCTAAGACAAGCCCAGCACAATGGTGCACAGCTGTGACCCCAGCACTCTGGAGGTTGAGGCGGGGGATCGCTGTGAGTCTGAGAGCAGCCTGGGTTACATAAGTGAGTTCAAGGCCAGCCTGAACTGCAGAGCAAGACCCTATCTCAACCCCACCTCCAAAACCACAGGACAGTAAGTGCCCCTGCACCCTACACACACCCCTTTCCTTCCCTTGGGCTCTTGGTGGCTCCTCAGTAAATATGAACAGAGAGCCCAGAACTAACAAATATCAGAGGAAAGCCTCCAAAAACGAGACCCTCCTATACACACACACAAAGGAAGGAAAAAGGAAAGACAGAAAAAGCAAGACAGAGAAAAGAAAGCAGAGTACTCCAGGCAGTCCGGTTACCCGTTTGGCTCTCCTGAGGTCCCTGGCTTTTCCCTTTTGTTGTGGAGCCCAGCGCTTAACCCGCAGTGGAGGAACCCTTCTCAGCCACAGGGCTCCTCAAAAGTCACAAGATTTGAACACGTGGCTTCACTGGCAGCAGAGTTCATGTCCTAACCCCATGTCAGGTACCATTCCACGGCTCCTAGTAATTAGAAGATCTTTGTAAGCTGCACTGAGGGACACACAAGGTCCTTGAAGTTAATTACTAGTTCAGTCAGGTTTGATTCCAGGAGGGTGAGGCAAGGCCATGAGTCACCGGGGAAATGACCCCGCCTCCTTCTGTCCTAACTTTTGAATTTTTTTTTGTCTTTTTGAGACAGAGTCTCTGTGCAGCTCAGGCTGGCCTTGAGCTCACTTTGTAGCCCAGGCTGGTCTCAAACTCGAAACGATCCTCCTGCCTCAGCCTCCCCAGTGCTGGGATGACAGGCGTGAGCCACCAGGCTTTTTCAAGATTTTTTTTTTTTTTAATGGTACCAGGGATCAAACTCATGACTGTGCAATTGCAAGGCAGGTGCTTATGCCGCTGAGCTAAATCCCCAGCCGTCCTTTTAAACCAGCAGTTGTCTACAGAGGGGAAAACAAAGCAAACTTCTCTAGTTGCAGGCCTCAGAACCCCAGGAGGCGTTTGCTGGGAATGAACCTTGCGCTAATACACTACTTTTCTGGTTTGCCTCCCCGGTATTTTGGGTCTTGGTTTTACCTGCTGTCAGAAAACATTCTCTTACTCATTTCCAGGTGAGCTCTCTGTCATCACACCTCACCCTTCTCCCGCCTTGCCTCCCCCGTGGATCTAAATTTGGAGTTTCTTAGCACCGCAGCTAGGTGGGGCGGGAGGGGCTGCCGCGGAGAGGCCTCTCCCAGCCGCATCCTCTGGGGTCCCCACCTCCACGGCTCCTTCATGCTGTTGCTACCCCCAGGATCCACTGGCAAGAGCAATGTGCCAGCTTTCCAAAGCCACGCCCCGTGGCCTGGCCTTTCCGCATGCATCTGGGGCTCCGTCTTTCCCACATTCTGTGGACGTGGCCAGCAAATGTGGGAATCAGACCTGAAGCAGACTCTCACTGTCTTGCCTGGTTTGCCTGCAAGGTTCCCTCCAGCTAGCGACAGAGATTGATGTAGGTGGGGGACTCTGCCTGTGCTACCTCCTTCTACCCTCCCTGTTTTGTACCCAGACACTGAGCCTTCTCAACTTCAAAGTCTGGATCTGGCATCTTCGTTCTTTGACTAGAAAGCAGAGTGATTTTAGGGCCCAAAAGCCAGAGCCAGCTCCTCACACTGAGACCCCGAGGAAGCTGCTTTTCTTTTCACAGAGGCAGGGCCAGCTCAGGCAGCCTGTGTCAGCACAGAGGACTGGAGACCAGGCTGTTTCTGGGGGGAAAGCAGCTGAGAGCATTTCATCTCCGACTGGGCTGAATCCCCACACCCAGCACACACTCCCTGCTCACTCACCTCCCCCAGACAGCTGGGAAATGACACCTCTGGTGACAGAGCCGGTCCCTGGGCTTCTGCCCAGAGGGGGTGGGGCACTGCAGTGGAGGAAGCTCTCACACCCGGAGGCCCTGGGAGGCCTGGATTGGAGAGAGAAGAAGCCAGCTCCTGTCTGCCTCAGAGATTGAGAGGAAATGCCCCTGCCGCATTTCTAGGGATGCAGCGAGCCCTCCTCCGTGCCTCCTTCACCCCCTTTCCCCACCAGATAGTCCACTGGTCCTGTTTTGTCCGAGAGGTTGGGTAGCGGTATGCTCAGCTGCTGGATCCATTTAAAGCACCTAAATGGAAAACAGTCAGAGATGTACTGTGTCATCCACGTCATGCCATTTACTATTATTATTATTTTGGTTTTATTGAAACAGGGTCGCACTATGTAGCCCAAGCTGGCCTCGGACTCATGGTAATCCTCCTGCCTCAGCCTTGCTTGTGCTGGGATTCACCACACCTGGCTAGATCATACCATTTAACAAATACATATTTAGTACCTAGTATGTACCAAGTTTAGGAGAGGATGGAATCTAAGTCGCACCTGTGAAGCTAATCCACATGTAAAATGGCACCTATAACCCTGGTACTGCAGGTGCTGTCCTTGTCTACTGTCCTCTTTTGGCCCAGGTCCTGCACCTGGGACCAAAGACTGAGCCATGTCTTGTGTCAGGACAGCTGGGGGAAGAGCTAGGTTCTGGTCAGCCTGCAGCCCCACGCCAATACCTCCAATGATGGCCTGTGCCCTCCTCCCTGGAGCCTTTAATTTACCCACAGAGGGCCTGTTTAGCTTGCCTAGGAGAACCCTCAGGTCTGACCTGTGAGGCTTCCACAGCTGGCAGCCTCTCTTGGGAATGGCTGGAGCCAGAGACCAGGGGTGCAGGGGATATGGGATGTGTTATGCTCATTCATCCCTGAGCTTCCTTGGGACATCACCTTGCAGGGTGAGGGAGTGAGCCCAACTTCCCCCACTCCGCTCCAGCTAGGAGCAGGGTCCCAGCTGTCCACACGGCTGGAGCACGGGCACTGGCCCCTTCCCAGTCCATCCCGGTGCTGACCCCGGTCTGGGCGACCCTTCGGGCTGGCTGGGGACTAGCTAGCCCGTTTCACTGCTGGGCAGGATGTGGTTTGCGGTAAGGTGGGAGCTAGCCGCGGTGCGGCGGAAGGTGACAGAAGGCTTGGGGTGGCTGTGACCGGCGCGGGTGCGCGGGGCGCAGCCGGCAGCCAGGGGTCCCCTTGCGAGGGGCGGGCGCCCAGGCCGAGCTCCAGCCCGCGCCCCGCCCCGCCCCGCTCCAGCCAAGCCCCGCCCCCGCCCGCAGAGCCCGGATGCGGGTGACGCGCGGCCGCCATCTTCCAGTCCCGGAGCCAGCGCCAGTCGGAGCCAGCGCGAGCCGCCGCCGCCTCCGCCGCCGCCGCCGCCATCACTGCCGCTGCCAAGTCCCCCGCCTGCTGCCTCCGCCATGTGAGTCGGCCGCCCGTCGCCCCAGCGCTGGCCCGCGCCGGCCGCCGCCCAGGGGAGCGGGCTGCGGGGAGGCCCGGGGTCCCGCCTGCGCCCCTCGCATCCCCGCACCGGGTTCCAGGCTGGTGCCCGGGAGTGTGCGCGCCCGGCGGGGAGCCGGCGACCCGGGCCGGCGGCGGCGACGAAGGGCGCGCGAGGAAGAGGAGCGGACCCAGTGTCCGGCCGCCCGCCCCGCCCCTGCCGCCGCCGGCCCTGTGGGTGGACCTGGGCCGCGCCTGCGAGGTCGCCCTCGTTTGGCAGGCGGGGAAACTGAGGCCCGGGGGGGGTGGGGGCCTGGCTCAAGGTCATGCAGCTCGGCTGTGGCCGGGGCTCCCCTCGGGTCGCCTTCCCGAAGAGGCCTGGACGGAGGAAGGAGGGACAGGTGGATGGGCGGAGCCCTGGCGGCCAGGCCGGAGGCTCGGGCCCGGGTGTTAATGGGGTCCCGCTTCCCAGGTCTGCGACGGCTGCCACCGCGCCCCCCGCCGCCCCGGCTGGGGAGGGCGGCCCCCCCGCACCCCCGCCAAACCTCACCAGTAACCGGAGACTGCAGCAGACCCAGGCCCAGGTGGACGAGGTGAGTGTGGGGCGCGGCGGGCCGTGGGGGGACCTTGGGGCCGGCGGACAGGTTGGGGCCAGTCTGGTGGAGTGTGATGACAGTTCACGCCTGTGGGCTTGGGGTGCAAGACATGCCGTGCCCCATCCCTGTCGCCCTGCAAGCACGAACGTGGAAGGGCTCTGGGATGTTGAAGCAGCTATGTGCCAGCCTGGGCAAGTGTGCTCTGGGGTGAGAGGCTGCCCGGGCTGGAGCGGATGCCTGGTTCCCGGCATACCCATGATGTGTGCTCCTTGCATGTTCCCAGGTGTTCTAGGCATGTTCTGTATATGTCCTTGGCATGGTAGCCTGGCGGCCTCGGGGTATATGCTCCCTGTGTGGCACGATGGGCGCATGGTGGAGAAATGCCTCGGTTGAGGTGGCCTTGGCGCACACCCTGCCTCGTGGCCCCTCCCTCAGGTGGTGGACATTATGAGGGTGAATGTGGATAAGGTCCTGGAGCGGGACCAGAAGCTGTCAGAGCTGGATGACCGCGCCGACGCACTCCAGGCGGGGGCCTCCCAGTTTGAAACCAGTGCTGCCAAGCTCAAGCGCAAATATTGGTGGAAAAACCTCAAGGTAAGGCTGGGAGCAGGAGGGAGGTGATGTGCGGGCTGGTGAGGGTGTAGTGATGTCTGACTGGTCCTCCTTCCCACCTCCAGATGATGATAATCTTGGGAGTGATTTGCGCCATCATCCTCATCATCATCATCGGTGAGTCGGGGCAGGAGAGGCCGGGGCCCTTTCTCTGGAGAGGTTTCCCTGTGAATTCTGGGTTTTGAAGGTCGTTAACCTAGTTTCTACTTTTCACCAAAGCATAAATACTGCTGCTAATGGCAGCCCTGATGCATCTTTTAAAATTTGGGGAACAGGAAAGCTAGGGGGCCCCAGTGTTGCATTGAGGACCCTTTGGGTACAAGATTCCAGTCTGGGAATCCCGGATTGGGTAGAAGATGACAGAAAAGGTCTAGGGGCTTGAGATGCCATCAGGAAGCTGGCACCTGTGGTCCAGGAGGCCTTGAGAACTAAGGGGGTGTAGCCCTGTGCCATGCATGGAATCCAGGGAACTTGGAACCCACCTGTCCAGCCCATTTTACAAGTGAACAAACTGAGGCCAGGAGAGGGGAAGGACTCGAGCCAACTGGGGCGTGGGGAGGACTGGCATAGGGCAAGGCTGACCCACTGCTCTCTCTTTCTCCCCTTCCCCTGTCCCTGGCTCTCTTCCCCTCTCTCCACAGTTTACTTCAGCACTTAAATCCCTGAGGAGTCAGCCCTGCCTAGAGAAGGGCCCCTCCCCCACCCCGCCGTCCCTCCACCTTTCAGCCATATCTTTCACCCCCTCCCGGATTCGTGTGTGTGTGTACGTGTGTCCGTGTGTGTGCCCCTCCCTGTAAATAGCCAGCTGTTATTTATACATATATAATATTATATATATTTGGTCTGTTTGTAGTTTTATTACTAGAAGATTTTTCCGGTTGTCCTTAACACCCCTTCCTGAGGTTCCTGTCATCTCCTGTCCCTCCCTCTTTCCCTCCTCCTCTCTCCCCCACCAGCCCCAGTCCCTTCATTTGCATCTGCTATGCAATAGTCCCTTTCCTCTTCTCCTTTCTTTAACTGATGCCCAAGCCTCCCCTCCACATAATCCCCAAAACAAAAAGCACCTGTGCAGGCCTCCTTGGGAGGCTCTGAGACTGGCCCTGCTTGGTCCTAAGCTTCCCCAGGTCTGGGAGCTTCCAGCATGTTGATTAGCATACATTTGCGTACTGGCATTCTGGTTTCAATGTTTTAGTTCTGTCACTTTCAACCTGTGTTTCTTTTTTACTGAGGAGGTAGTCCCTGTTGGTTCTCATACCACACTTTGATTTGCACGACATTACTTGCAGGTGGAAAGGAGCCGGGGCTTTTGAGGAACCAGAGTGTTCTGGTCCCCACAATTGCCCTCTCCCAGCCCTTCTAGCCATTTGCCTCTCCTACCCCATTTTCTAAACCTCTTGTGCCCGCCTCTCCCTCCCCCCCAGCTGGTGTGTAAGTGTCTTGGAGTTTAGTGTGCTGTGATGGACCAATAATTCTGCCACTCTGGGTCTCTCCCTACATTCCTGCTGCCCAGTGTTCATGTGGGACACTCGGTTGACATTCCCATGGGGTCTCCCTCCCATCTGCCTGATCCACCTCCTCCCCCCACAAGGAGAGTTGGAAGTTGGCTACAATCTGATTTCTTTTGGGATGGGTGGCTGCCAGTATGTGTGTGCTGGGGGGGGGGTCATCACTGCCTTGGGGAGGAGTGGGGCCGGGCAGAGAATCCCCCCAGTTCCTGCCTGAAATCTCTGGCCTCACCCTTCCAGGAGATTGGAGGTTGGACTGAAAACCTTCCTCCCCAATTTGGGGGATGTTGCCCCTATCACTGCCCAGCTCCTCTGACTGCCCCCCTGTATTCAGGGTGGGGGTACTAGTCACTGCCAATGTGTATATGGGACTTGCTGGATGATGGGGATTCTTGTCCCTCTCCATGGCCACTGGGCCCAGAGAGAGCGCGAGCGAGAGTGTGCACACCGAGAGTGCTGTCCCCTCATTAGGTGAAGTGATAGAGCCAAGGTCTAATGTCTTTAAATGGCACAATTTTAGGGGTTCAGTATGCAGTCCCTTAACCTGCCACTGGAGGGGGCCCCCAATCTCTTCCTCCCACATTCCAGGTGTTCTGTGTGGAGGGGGAGCAGGGAGATCTAAATTGTGGTGTGTGAAAGGGTAGGAGAGATGCTGGGGGTGGGGGTGCTGTGTTCTAGACACCCCATATGATCCCAGTGTCCCCTGCCTTCCCTCTTCCCTCACCCCCTTACCCCCAATTCTGTGGCGCATCCAGATTGTGAAAATGTACAATAAATGTGTAATGAGTAACCAGCTGCTGTCTTAAGATTTTTCTGATTAATGGGAAGGTTATTGGACCTGCAAGTTTAACAGGGAAGTTGAAAACATTGCAAAGGGATTGGGCAATGCCGGAGGTCCTGACCTTGGGCAGTGCAAAGTGTGATTCCTAAAGTGGCCACTGGAGGCACCACGACTTGGGAAATGGGAAGCGTCATTACCCCGTGCCCAAGCCTGGTGAACCCTGCAGTCTGTGCTACCCAGTCCCTCCTTACACTCTTGGGGCACACACTTGGTGTCAGACTCCTTTCTCGCCTCAAAGATTGAGCTCCAAGATGCTGCAGTTGCTCCTGTGATCATTTCTCCTGGGCCTGAGGTGGTGGTCACTTACATGGGGCATCTTTCTCTGTGCCTAGCACAGTGCCAGCATCTAGAGGGCTTAGTTACTGTTTATTGAATGAGTCCACTTGGGGGAAACCCAACCAAGTGCGGGCTGACTGGGTGGCAAGCCCCCCTTGTACTCTGTTCTGTGACCTGTGACTTCAGATCTTACCCCGAACTCCTGACTCCTCCAGCTTCTTGGTGCCCGGGCACTTAGACCAGCGAGGTTGTTGGTGAACGCTAGACTCATTTGGTAGTACAAGGAAAGCTAGTAGTGTTTCCGGAACCTGCTAGTTCCTAAACTGCCAGAGATGCTTTTTAAATAGATTTTCAGCTCCCTCCCTGGAGGCCTTACCCAGGGAGCCTTACCCAGGGAGCCTTACCAGCGGCCCCAAGGGGCACAGGTAATTCCTGTAATTAGGCACAGTCCACTGTAACATCTATTTCAAGGGCTTACTGTATACTGAGGTTTTGTGCTTCACCTACTGAATCCCTGTAGACTTGGTTATTCTTTCCATAGGACTTAGGACACATTTCAGTAGGGTGTCAGGGATCCGGGTTCAAATGTTAGCCCCATTATTGACTAGCGTGATAATTCGGACAGACAGATACCTTAACCCCTGGATCTGACACTTGGGGGGGGGGGTCGGAGTTGAGGGACGGTAAAACACTCTGAAGCAGCTGAAGCGTCATTATCGTCACCCTAATCCAGAGTTAAGCCTGAAAATTGCATCTTCGGCCCGGGAGCATCACAGATGTAGGGCAGGGGCCGTGGGCCACAGCTCCATGGCCAGAGGCGCTACACGTTCGCTTGTCTGCATAGTATCCCCACCCACGCCGTCGCCGCTCACTTCTGCGCTTGCGCATAGGTCAAACTCGATGCGCCTGCGCAGACTCTGCAGTCCTGGGTAAATGTCGTCAAGGAAAATCCCCAGCTTCTGGGTAAACAAGTTGCCGCGTGAGACCGCCGGCACGTGTCCTCTACATCTCTGAGGTCTCTCAGCCTATGAGAAAGCGTGGGGTGGCCGGACTGGCAGTTGCGTCACCGATATAGCCTGGTTGGGGTTGTTCCTAGCAACCAATAAGAATGCCAGAATTGTGTGCGGGTGTGGCTTCCTGTCAGACTTCCAATCAACGCCACAGGGCGGTCCCTCCCTCACGTGGATCTATCACTACCGGTGGTCTTGCGGACCAATGGGAAGATGACGGCGACCGGAGGTGCCAATGAAACCTTTGCGGGGGCTGAGCGGCTGCACGCGGAGCGGGGCATGGGTCGGCGCCTCTAAACCAATAAACCGTGGGGGCGTGGCATCTCGGACGGTGGGCGGGCCTGGAGGAAGCTGGAGTAGCCACTGTAGTCCCAGTCATGAGGAAATCTGGCTTCTGCTCTTGTTCGGAGCGGTGAGTGCCCAGCGGGGAGAGACTTGAGGGACGGTCGATATGGGTTTTCCATGGACTTTGTGGGTGTCAGTCAGAAGGAATGTTAATGGAGAGAAGAGATCCTGCAATTGTGTGAGCTCTGCTGGTTGTGGAGAAAATGGGCTGGAAGCTCTACAGGGACGGAGTTGAGTTACCAACGTCAGATTCTTTACCGTCCTAGAGTGCTGGACCTGACTTTTGGGGAGGGGGTTGCTCAGAAGCCTTCCGGCGATGTGAGCGAGTTGGAGCCCCTGGTCCTGCGGAGGTGCTGGGAGCTGGTGGGTGTTCCAGTTCCTGGCTGAGGTTTGGGCAGGTGCCTTAAGCACTTGGAAAAGGGCTCTGAGGCTGGAGGCAGGTACAGGTAGACAGGTGGAGGGGGATGCAAAAGTTTTGGCATGGGACTTGAAAAAAGGTGGTGCGCTGATTTGGGTGCTGCAGAACCAGTCTTCTAATGACTCTGGATGTCTGTCTCATGTGTAAAGGGGTTGCTTTGGATCTGAGACATGGGATATCAGCTATTGGGTTCTAAGAGGAAGGATAGGGTGGGAGTTTGTGCTGTGCACATCCCTCCCTAAGCTGGTGAAGGTGAGGAACACCGGGAGAGTGCTCTGGTGTCTGTACAGTCAGGTCTGTGTTAAAGCGGCCTAGGATAAGGTAGAAGAGTGAAGTGTGGTTCCTAGGAAATCACTGGGGCTGGAGACTCCTGGGATGATCGAAAGGATTTTGTGTGCATTGGAAGATGGGCTATGATGAATATGTGAAGTGTCTCCTCATCAGCGCAAGGAGAAGGTGGGTGAAGTCTGTGTTCCAGGCATCAGACTTAGAATCAGCTGGATATTGGGGAGGGTAAGGCTTGTCAGTGCTGGAATGCAGTTTAGAGGTTGGGTAACAACTCGTAGGTTCCTGAGGAAGCCAAAGAGGAGCCCTCATTAGAGCTCAGCTATGACCCCGGGCCCCGTTTGTGCAGCAGATAATTTAGGCAAGTTTAGTAACTTCTGAGCCTTAGTTGTCTTCCATGCAATACTGTTCTGGGGAGTAAATAAAGTCAATGCATACAAAGTGCTTAGCACAATGCTGGTCAGTTTTTTTTTTTTTTTTTTTTAAGTAGTTTAAAATGGTTATAAGGTGACAAGAATGACGGTGAGAGATTTATGCGAATGTTGTGGCTGGGAACTGTTCTCATTGTCATTTTCTTTATCTATCTTCCTGGTTCTTTTGGTCTTGAGGCACCAGCCCAAATTCCCTCATTCCTTTCTACCTCTCCGAGGATCCAGGTCCCAGACTGGACTACTTGCTTGGCCCTAGTTTGATTTCCTCACCACCACCCCTCAAACCATTCTCTGGCTGCGTGTCCCCCTCCTTACCCCTTTTCTGCATTGTAAGGAGAGAGATTCAGGCTCAGAAGGGGCCTGGGACCAAAGGTGCATGTTCTTTCGCAGAACCTGGGCCTCCAGCTTGCCCGCCCCTGCACTTTGGTACCGGGCAGCATCAGTGTACTGTTTGGGAGCGGGAAGACCGTGCCAAGATCTGTAGAAAAGAGTCGAAGGGCTGGCAGCTGCGTCCTGCAGAGAGTCGCTGCCATGGGGGCGGAGGAGACCCCCTTCCTCCTAATCCTCTCTCCAGGAATCCCTGGCTTTGGGACGGGACGCCTGTCGTTAAGTTGGGGGAGGCGTCCAGGCTGAGTGCATGTCCTGGGCCACCAGCCAAGAGAACACGATGTTCCCAAGTTCGCTGGCCGCCGCCCTCTCGGGCTGGCCGCCTCCCAAACCGCTGCCTCTCCAACCTCCCTGCCCCACATTCCCTGGCTGCCTCGGCCCGCCTCCTTCCTCCGCCTTGACGTCACACTTGTCTCCCGCCCCCTCGCCTCCATTGACGGCAGCAGAGCCTGGTAACTGTGGGGACGGTGAGGCCGGAAGACCTGGGCCTTATGAGTAGGTGGAGGCTGTTGGGAGTGCCGAACTCTTTTTTTTATGTGTAAAAGACAGATGTGGAGGTGGGCGAGCAAGGACTGCCTGGGTCAGGGGAGATCACAGCTAAATCTCCCGAGGAGAGCAGGGGAGGAGAAAAGCTTCCAGAGAAGAGGTTCTGGAAATGACACAGCTACAGAACCACACTGCATGGGAGCGGGTGGGGTAGGGGTAGGGGACACATAGCATCATTTTCAAGGGCATGAGAATCCAGGCTCCTGAATCCTTTGTTTTCTTGCTTCGGTTTTTCTGGGTAATTTTTAAAGGTTTTTTGTCCTCTTTCTCTTTCTCTTCCCTTTTCTTTTTCTTTCTAGGTTATAACACCCTTACGTTCCAGCTCTTCCCCAGAGCCCTTCCCCGTCCCTATCCTCCACTCAGGGGGCGCAGCCTTGTTAAAGGAAGCTTAGGTTGTGTGACTGAGGGGTAGGCACCCGCATTGATTTGTTAGAGGCTGCCTAGGGGGTGCTTCCCTGGCTACCCACGGTTCCAGGAGTCCCTGAGAGGAACTGCTGCATTTATTACGGTCTGGATGAAGGAGCTAAGTAACAGTTATGGATGCAAATTGGCACTTTATTTCCCCAAGTCAAGCTTCTTTTTTATTTTTTAGGGCCCAATACTCTGCTTCTCCCTTTTTAAAAGAACTGACAGTTTTCAGGCCCCTCTCCACCTCTGAGCCTCCTTCCTTACTTCCCGTACCTAACCATTTTACAAAAAAAGGTCATTTTGTCATGCTTATCAGTCACCTGCCATGTATTGGGCTTCTGTCCTGGGCACTGGAGGAGAGTGTAGTGATGGAGAAATGAAGTCCCAGCTGAACCCCCCAAATCTCACTTTTCCAAGCAGTGGGGATAAAGCTCTCCCCCTTCTGCCTAGGGTTCCAGCTGGCCTCTTGTCATGGCTGCCCTCTTCCTTCCTCTGTACCCCTACCTTCCTAGCCCTCTCTTTTGGGGCAGCCCTAGGTGTGGGTGGCTGGATTCTTTGGAGAGGACTAGTCACCGTGTAGGCTGCGGGAGACCTAGTCTCTGATTGGCTGTGAAAACACCTGCCATTGTCTGCCTTCACCATCTCCATTGGCTCTGGCAGCCTCTTGCATCGTCTGTACTCTCCCTCCACCCACTCACCTTCCAGTCACACGTGGACTCTCCATTGCCCTTCTTTCAGGATTGAAGTGTCAGAGGACTCACTTCATTGTTATGTATTATGACAAAGCCAAGGAAAGGCTAGCCCAGGAAAGGGCCAGCAGGGTTTGACCCCTACCCCCCGCCAGGACCCAGCCATCTCATCGAGTTTCGTCCAGCTCCCAAGGTCTGCCTTTCTTTTCCATATCCCTGGATAGGCCAAGGTGTCCTGTTGTGTAAGGCGGGTCAGCTCAGGAAGTAGCCCACTGTGGCAAGGGTCTTTTCCCCAAAGAGGGGCAGCTTACCTGCCCTGACTTCCATTATTCACTGTGCAAGGCCTCTGGTGCCTATTGGGCGGTGTCCGCAGTCCTTCAGCCTAGTGCCAGCACCCAGGTCCACGTGCGCCCGTGTGTGTGTGACACAGCCCTGACCTCAGTGAGGGCCAGTGGCCAATCAGGCGCCAGGGAGAGCTCCCTAGCCAATCGGGGGGCGGGGCTTACAGCTCTGTGGGCCGGAGGCCAATGAGGGGCAGCGCCTGGCATTATGCAACCCGCCTCCCCGGCTCGCCGAGCTTCTACCCGGCTGCGGGCTGGAACGGCATCGGGCAGGCAGCTGGAGGGTGCTAGCACGCCCAGGTAGGCATCTCTGTGGCCACCCTGTAGCCAGTCTTCGTCCCCGAGCCGGGCCGGCGCCACTTCCAATCTGATAGGTCACTTTCAGCCTAGGTGCTCAGACAGCACGACAGTAATCCGCGTTGCTTGTTGCTGTCCACCCCTCCTCTGGCCCTGGGCACCTCGGTGCTCCTTACCACGCTTCACGGTAGTCCTACTCCTGACCTCCTCAGCTTCCCTCCCCGGCCGGATCCATCCCCGCCCCCTGTTAGACTCACGGCGGGCCTGCCCCCTGTCTCCTTCCTCTTCACTCAGGGGTCCCCAGATTTGCCCTGGCAGCAAGACCCCGTTAGGCTATTTTAGCGCTTCTCATCCTCCCCCTCCAGTCCCTGGCCCCATGCCGGTCGTGATGTCAGCCCATTTCGGGCAGGAACATCCCGTTCTCGGCGCTAGTTCCTGCTGTTGGCCACAACCTTCCTTTTCCCCTGGCGCTCAGAAAATGCTCTGGGATGGGGGTGTGGTTGGATGGGGAGTAAAGGCAGAACTCCAGGGTTGGTGACTGTTGTGGGTCTCCTGCCCAAGGCTCGGATGGGGGAGAGGAGGGGTAGAAAAGTGAGGGATCGAGGAGTGAGAATTCCTGGGTCCTTGATGGTGGCAGGTGCGGGCTCTAGGCTTGGAGCTCGGGAGGTGGACGGGAACCACAAAAGAAAGGCTGTATTGTTTTGACTAGAGTGGCTGGGATCTAGGCTAGTGCGAGGCCATGGGTCTTTTGCGCGGAGGGCGGAGGGCGTTGTTTTGTTGGGGGAAAGCCAGGACCAGCCCCCTAGTATCCCAATGGGCTATCCCGTCTTCACACGCACACCGGGCTGTCCTGGGACCTAGTTTTTGTTAGGGGTGGGTGACACGGGCCAAACCCGCCCATGTGGGAGTGAATTTTTCCTCCACTTCCGAGGGGAAATGGGGGAGGGGTCGCCCCTCCCACCCCGCTGTGTGTCCCTCCAGCAACCGCTGAGCTCAGCAGCTGACGTCGGTTTCCTTGGCTACCGTGGCGGCGGCGGAAGCTCGTGTTGGGGCCCTGCACGTCGGTGCGCATGTGCAGCGGGGGTGGCACCGCCCCCGGATAAAATTAGCCCGGAAGCCTAAATATAGGAGACGATATGCTCACCAGACCGCTCTGCCTTCTTGGAGACCTAGGCCTAGTGCAGGCCTTATGAGAACCTAGCAGTGCAAAACGTTTAGACTTTGGCCCACAGCCATAGTTTTAATCGCCTGCTCAGGCTCCATTGACCCAGGCCATGCAAACAAGGATGTGGGGGAAGGCCCAAGAGAGCCCCCGTTTCCTCTTCCAGCACCTCTACGGGGACAGATACAGAAATTACCTTGGTTCCCTATTGGGAGCCCAGGCCTGGATCTAGGAACGTGGGACTAGCAGGGGAGAGTCTGGATGAAGCTAGCAGATGCTGGGGGGGGGGGTGGTAAATGGATAAAGTTCCTTCTAACTCCCCTTCCTGCCCTCTTCCAGGTGCTGGCTGTGAGCAGTATTCTTAATCCTCAGAGACAGATCCTACTTACTCCCTCAGCCAGGCCTCAAGGCCCCTTGGTGCATCTGCGGTAGCATCTCCACCTTCTCTGTTCTGTTTTCCACATGGCCCAGACATGAGTGGCCCCTTAGAAGGGGCTGATGGGGGAGGGGACCCCGGGTCAGGAGAATCCTTTTGTCCTGGAGAAGTCCCGTCCCCTGGGCCCCCACAACACCGGCCTTGCCCAGGCCCCAGCCTAGCTGATGACACCGATGCCAACAGCAATGGCTCAAGTGGCAATGAGTCCAATGGGCATGAGTCCAGGGGTGCATCTCAGCGGAGCTCACATAGCTCCTCCTCTGGCAATGGGAAGGACTCTGCCCTGTTGGAGACCACTGAGAGCAGCAAGAGGTATGTATGTGTGCTGCAGACTTGGGGAGTGACCTCCTGAGCAAGCTGACTTAGGTCACGGGTCCCTCATCTTGGGCTGTGTCTCTTTCTGTAGCACAAACTCCCAGAGCCCATCACCACCCAGCAGTTCCATTGCCTACAGCCTCCTGAGTGCCAGCTCAGAGCAGGACAATCCATCTACCAGTGGCTGCAGGTTTGTGGGGTGAGGGCTGTCGGAGAGGTCTGGGGCATGGACCTCACTTTGGGGCTCATGCCTTTGTCCTTTCATCTCTGTTGGTCCTGCAGCAGTGAACAGTCAGCCCGGGCGCGGACCCAGAAGGAACTCATGACAGCACTTAGGGAGCTCAAGCTTCGACTGCCACCAGAACGTCGGGGCAAGGGCCGCTCTGGTACCCTCGCCACACTGCAGTATGCGCTGGCCTGTGTCAAGCAGGTGCAGGGTGAGTGATGTTCCCTGGGTGGGGACTGGCCAGAGTCTGGGCTATTTATGTGTGGGGCTCAGTCTCCCTAAGGTACACTAATACACACCTTCACCCTCCAGCCAACCAGGATTACTACCAGCAGTGGAGCCTGGAAGAGGGTGAGCCTTGTGCCATGGATATGTCCACGTACACCCTGGAAGAGCTGGAGCACATCACATCTGAGTACACACTTCGCAACCAGGTCTGCTGCGGTCTGGCCTTTCCAGCCCCGTGTATGCCGTTCTTAAGCCACAGCTCCTGAGTCTGCCCTTGTTCTTGCCTTCCTGTTAGGATACTTTCTCCGTGGCTGTCTCCTTCCTGACAGGCCGAATCGTCTACATTTCTGAGCAAGCAAGTGTCCTGCTACGGTGCAAGCGGGATGTGTTCCGGGGTGCCCGCTTCTCAGAGCTCCTGGCTCCCCAGGATGTGGGTGTTTTCTACGGTTCCACTGCCCCATCTCGTCTCCCCACCTGGGGCGCTGGGGCCTCTACAGGTGAGGTGTCCAGGTGCTTGTGGAGCGATGGGTAGCCCGAGGAAGCTTCTGCTGTGAGGGCTGGGGCTGCAGGCTTTTCTCTTGCTGGGCTTTTTTCAGCCCAGGGAAAGGCGGAGGTCTGGGGGTAGACATACTGCCTTCCTCATCTGCCTCAGGTTCAGGCCTCAAGGACTTCACTCAGGAGAAGTCTATCTTCTGCCGGATCAGGTAGGTGGGGGAGGCCTCTCCTTCCTAAGCTGCCCCTGGTATTGCAGTGAGGGCCACGATAATGATGTTGGAAGAGTTGATGTCTTTGCACTGTAATTCTCTGATGCTCTTCTCTCCCTTGCTAGAGGAGGTCCTGACCGGGATCCAGGGCCTCGGTACCAGCCATTCCGCCTAACGCCGTATGTGACCAAGATCCGGGTCTCGGATGGGGCCCCTGCGCAGCCATGCTGCCTGCTCATTGCAGAGCGCATCCACTCGGGTTATGAAGGTAGGCAGGTCAGGGACCTGGCCAGGTGTGGGGGGAGCGTGGGTGTGGAAGGCAGAATTTCCCTGGTGGTGGGTCTGAGAGGTACCAGCCAGACTGTTGGGAGAGGACGTGATAGAAGGATGTGGGTTCAGGCTGCCCTTGGAGGGAGGGCTGGACGAGAGCCCTGAGCTGGGGCAGGAGGAGGAACGCTGTGCTAGTGCTTGCTGCTGTTACTGGATGAGGCACAAGAGTGGCCCAGACTCTCTCTGTGGGCCAGAAAGGTCCTGAGCGCTGAACTGTGAGGATTGCCAGCCAGGCTGGGGTCCCAGTCAGGGAAGAAGGAGTTGTCCCATTCTGGACAAATCCAACAGCCGCATCTTCTGCGCCTCAGCTCCCCGGATCCCCCCTGACAAGAGGATCTTCACCACACGGCACACACCCAGCTGCCTTTTCCAGGACGTGGATGAAAGGTGAAGTCAGGACCCGGAGGAAAGGGGGTGGCGAGGCTCAAGACTGGCCGCTCTGATACTTCCTCCCCTCACAGGGCTGCCCCGCTGCTGGGCTACCTGCCCCAGGACCTGCTGGGGGCCCCCGTGCTGCTCTTTCTGCACCCCGAGGACCGACCCCTGATGCTGGCCATCCACAAGAAGAGTGAGTTCCTGTCCCGCTGCTTGCCTGCCCTTGTCCTCTGGAATCTGCTGGGGTGGCCCGCTGACTCGACTTCATTTCCACCTCCCTTTAGTCCTGCAGTTGGCGGGCCAGCCCTTTGACCACTCTCCTATCCGCTTCTGTGCCCGCAACGGGGAATATGTCACCATGGACACCAGCTGGGCCGGCTTTGTACATCCCTGGAGCCGCAAGGTGGCCTTTGTATTGGGCCGCCACAAAGTACGCACGTAAGTGGGCCGTGGCCCAAGTGGCACTGGAGGTGGGTGAAAGGGAAGCACCGAGCTCACCCTTCCCCGCTCTGCAGAGCACCCCTGAATGAGGATGTGTTCACTCCCCCGGGCTCCAGCTCAGCTCTGTCCTTGGACTCTGATATCCAGGAGCTCTCGGAGCAGATCCACCGGCTACTGTTGCAGGTAGGAACTGAGGACGGGATGGGTGGGAGTCGCTTAGGAGGCAAAGAGACAGAAGCAGGGTGGATCCTGGCTCTCCTTTTCTGCTGTAGCCTGTGCACAGCTCCAGCCCCACTGGGCTTTGTGGAGTCGGCCCTGTGGCATCCCCAGGTCCTCTTCGTAGCCCTGGCTCCTCCAGCGACAGCAATGGTGGGGACGCTGAGGGGCCTGGGCCTCCTGCTCCAGTGAGTAGCCCTCCTTTCCTTATCCCCCTGATTGCCCATGCTCCTGTCCTCCGCAGAATCAGGCCTGCCAGTCCCAGGGCTTTTCCTGTCCGCTCTCCCTTCTGTGCCCTGCCTTTCCCTCCCTGTGCTAGGGCTCCAGGGCCCTCGGGGTACTCTCTTGTTGTACTGTTTTTGGTTCCTGGCAGTGGCCAGGTGCCCCAGTGCTGCCTGCTGCCCTGCTGTGTCCCACAGGTGACTTTCCAGCAGATCTGTAAGGATGTGCATCTGGTGAAGCACCAGGGCCAGCAGCTTTTCATCGAGTCCCGGGCCCGGCCTCCTCCGCAACCTCGCCTCCCAGGTGAGTGATGTGATACTGTAGATGGAGGTGAGAAATGAGACTTGGGGCTCCCCTGGCCCTCACCCCCACCCATTTACCTTTTCCTGTCCTTGCCCCAGCTACAGGAACATTCAAGGCCAAGGCCCTTCCCTTGCAGCCCCGAGACGCAGAGCCAGAGGCTGTCCCTGCTCCCAGCCAAGCCCCATTAGCCTTGGCCCCTGAGGAGGCTGAGAGGAAGGAAGCTTCCGGCTGTTCCTACCAGCAGATCAACTGCCTGGACAGCATCCTCAGGTTAGGCCCGCCGGGCACCTTCACTCTCAGCCCTGCCACTGCCGCCCCCAGGGCCCTGCCCTTAGGTCTTCTGCTCCCTTCATCCCCAGGTATCTGGAGAGCTGCAACATCCCCAGCACGACCAAGCGAAAGTGTGCCTCCTCGTCCTCCTATACTGCCTCCTCAGCCTCTGACGATGACAAGCAAAGGACAGGTCCAGTCCCCGTGGGGGCTAAGAAAGGTAAAGATTCAGTGCATACCTGGCTCCCACTGGCCTGACCCAGCCTGGTAGTCTTGGGTCTCTGCATTCTGCATTGGGGTCCCCACCTTGCTGTGCCCTGCCCTTCTCCCGTGCATCAAGATCTCCAGCTCCTTCCTGCCGTCAGTCCCTCCCCTCTTCCCTGGGACCCACTCTCCTGAGTTCATAGCGGTGGGGGCAGTGGTAACCAGTGCCGTCTCTCCACACAGATTCACCATCAGCAGTGCTGGCTGGGGAGGGGGCTGCTCCTCGGAAGGAACCGGTGGTGGGAGGCACCCTGAGCCCGCTCGCTCTGGCCAATAAGGCAGAGAGTGTGGCGTCTGTCACCAGTCAGTGTAGCTTCAGCTCGACCATCGTCCATGTGGGAGACAAGAAGCCCCCGGAGTCGGGTACGGGCGTGAAGAAAGCGGGGCAGTCCTGGGGCTCCACTTGGTCTGTCAGCCACGCTCCTATGCTGGTCTTCTCCAGGCCCGAATAGAGAGAGGCTTCCTTCTGGTTGGGACTGCCGCAGCTTGCTCTGCGTTGTCTGCCCGCCAGCCTCTGCTGCTCGCTCCTTCCTGTGTTCCTCCTGTACAGCCTGGGGTGAGGGCGTGGGGCTCAGCCCGAGGTGCTGATCACAGCGACCTGAGGCAACAAATGTTGAAGACCCTGAAAGGGTCTCGGTACTGACCTTAAGAACACGTGTGGGAAGAGCAAGGGGAGGGTGTCCTTCCGGCAAGGGTGTGAAGTTACCGCTCCTACAGGCTCCTGGCAGGCAGTGGCTACTGTGAGGCACTGAGTAGTTTCTGTGGAGGACGGCTTTGCGTGAGAGCAGGGCCCCGGACAGTCCTCAGCAGAAAGGGGCCAGGAGTTGCACAGCGGGCCCAGGCTTGTCTGTGAGGCAGAGGCAGGGGGACTGGGCTGTTGGCAGGGAGGGCATGGTGTGGGTGTGTTGACTTCTGAGGTGATGTGATTCTGATGACTTCTGTGACTTACCTTCTAGACATCATCATGATGGAGGACCTGTCTGGCTTAGCCCTGGGCCCGGCCCCAAGCCCAGCCCCCAGCCCCACCGTAGCTCCTGATCCAGCCCCAGATGCCTACCGCCCAGTGGGTCTGACCAAGGCCGTGCTGTCCCTGCATACACAGAAGGAAGAGCAAGCCTTCCTCAGCCGCTTCCGAGACCTTGGCAGGCTGCGTGGACTTGACAGCTCTTCCACAGCCCCCTGGGCCCCTGGCGAGCGAGGTAGCCCCCGGGGGCTTCCCTGAGCTGTCCTCTGCCCAGTCTAGGGCCAGGTTGTCAGAGATGGGCCTTGAGAGATGTTTCTGCTCCGGGGACCCTGGGCTGGTTCCACCAGGCTCCATTTAGGGGCGGGTCCCCTGCCAGCCCCTCCCACTAGGCACTGAGACAGGCAGGCAGAGGCACTCTGTTCCAGGTAAGCTGCTATGGGCCTGACTCGGGCCCGGAAGGGCCTGGAAGTGTGTTCACTCGTGGGCCAGCTCTGGGGAGGGCTCAGGGTTTTAAGGGGAACAGGAAGACAGCCCCTTCTGTTTCCTGAGGGAGCCCTTGCACAGATGCACAGGTGGCTGAAGAGTCTGGACGCAGGCCCGTGTGTCTCTGCCCACCTCTCCACTCCGTCTCGAGCTAGGCAGATCCCAGCCTTGACTGGTAGGAGTGTCCAGGCTGACAGGGCCTGCGGGATATGGGCAGTGGACCAGGACTGTAACTGCCTGCCTGTTCACGGGGCCCACTCTGCCTCTTCTCATCTGCCAGTGCCCGTGTTTTGCATATCGCCATCTTGACCCCTCGTGTAATCCTGCCTTTTTCTGGTTCCTTTCTCAATAAACCCCCCTGTCCTTGGCTGCTGTGATTCTTCCATGAAGGTGCCGCCACCTCCTGAGTGCCCTGAGTTCTTTATAGGCTGAGGATCTCTTTCTGGGGCCTTTGCCTGTTCTCCCCCTGGTCAGCGTGTCAGGGAAGTGGGGGTAGCAGCGGCACTAGCCCCCAGGCCGAGGCCCACACTAACCCTAGTTTCTCCCCACAGGCTGCCATCACAGCCCCACGCCCCCCAGCCGCCGGCACCACTGCAGATCCAAAGCCAAGCGCTCACGCCACCATCAGACCTCCAGGGCCGAAGCCCCCTGCTATGTCTCCCATGCCTCATCTGTGCCCCCCTCTGGTCCCTGGCCACCCCCACCAGCTGATTCCACCTTCCCAGCAGTGGTCCAGCCCTACCCCCTCCCAGTGTTCTCCCCTAGAGGGAGCCCCCAGCCCCTTCCCCCTGCCGCCTCCTCTGTGCCCCCTGCTGCTTTCTCGGCCCCCCTGGTGACCCCAGTGGTGGCCTTGGTGCTCCCTAACTATCTGTTTCCCACCCCATCCAGCTACCCCTATGGGGTACATCAGGCCCCTGCTGAGAGCCCTCTCACTCCTGCCTCCCACTCACCCTCACCCTCCCTGCTGCCGCTGCCCCCAAGCCCCCCACACCGCCCGGACTCCCCACTGTTCAACTCAAGATGCAGCTCTCCACTCCAGCTCAATCTGCTGCAGTTAGAGGAGCCCTCCCGCACTGAGGCGGGTGCTGTTGCAGGGGGGCCTGGGAGCAGTGCTGGGCCCCCACCTCCTATTGAGGAGGCCGCAGAGCCGGAGACCAGACTGGTGAGCACTGAGCCCCTGCACCCTGCTTCCAGCCCCTCGGCCCTCAGCCCCCGTCCCGCTTTTACCTGGTGCCACTTGCTACCCTGGAGTCTCCTGGGCCTGGCATCTTACCTCCTGAAGACTGATGGGGCCAGAGTCCCCAGCTGGGTTTCTGAACAGAGCCGAAATTGGCTGTCTCGCTGTGAAGGGACATTCCTGTCTGTCTGACAGGTGGCAAGAACATCCCAGTAACTTCTGAGAAGTTGGAGAGGGTCCAGCATCGAATCCCTCCTCTTCGTCAGCTCTCCTGTCAGCTGGGCCCCATGTTTTGGAGTGAGGAGCAGAGATCTCAGGGTGTCCCTGCCTCACCCCAGCCCTGGAAGCCATTGGAGGGAAGCCAGGTGCTGACTCCCCCTCCTTCCCTGTTCCCCCTGTTCCCTTTTCTCCAGGTGGAGGTAACCGAGTCCTCTAACCAGGATGCGCTCTCTGGCTCCAGTGACCTGCTGGAGCTGCTGCTTCAAGAGGACTCTCGCTCTGGCACAGGCTCAGCAGCTTCGGGCTCCCTGGGCTCTGGCTCGGGCTCTGGCTCAGGCTCAGGCTCCCACGAAGGTGGCAGCACCTCAGCCAGCATTACTCGTGAGTGCCCATCCTTCACCGTTTCCCAGGGTCGGAGGGGGGGACGGGGACCAGGCACCATCTTGGCTGGCTGAGCCTGCTGTGCTGTACACATGGCCTCTGAGGGTGGGCTGGTGAGGCCCCAGGGTGGGCAGTCGGCTCTCCGGTTCCCTTGACCTGCCCTCTACTCCACAGGAAGCAGTCAGAGCAGCCACACAAGCAAGTACTTTGGCAGCGTTGATTCTTCAGAGGCTGAGGCTGGGGCTGCTCAGGCCAGGGCTGAGCCTGGGGACCAGGTCATTAAGTATGTGCTCCAGGATCCCATCTGGCTGCTCATGGCCAATGCTGACCAGCACGTTATGATGACTTACCAGGTGCCCTCCAGGTGAGGCGTCCAGGGACCACCTTTGCCTCCCTCTCAGAAGTAGCAGAGAGGCTGGCCTGTCTTGGCTGCCCAGCTAACTTGGGGTTTCCTTTTCTGGGCTGGCTCTGACCTTGGGGTTCCCATCGCACCCCTGGCTCCTTGGAGCTCTCTCTTCTTGTCTCCCAAGCTAACAGGTTTCCTGGGCTTAGATGCCCCCTAGACTTGGCAGGAGGAGCAGGAGGCCTGGTGGGTGGGACTGGTGCTAGAGGAGGAAGCCAGCCGCCTGGCTCCGTGTCCGGCCCTGGGTCCCAGCCTCTGCCCTCTGAACTTCTTCCTCACACAGGGACATGGCCTCTGTGCTGAAGCAGGATCGGGAGCGGCTCCGGGCAATGCAGAAGCAGCAGCCTCGGTTCTCAGACGACCAGCGGCGGGAACTGGGTGCTGTGCACTCCTGGGTTCGGAAGGGCCAGCTGCCTCAGGCCCTTGATGTGACGGTGAGAAATGTGGGGATGTGGGAAGAAGAAATAACTGAGTTGAGGTTCAAGGGACAGAGGATAAGGGCTGGATCTCAGTGTCTGTGGGCCATTAATTCTGAAGGACATTATTCCCACTAAATTTTCTGCTGGATTAGGTAGTGTAAAACCACAAGAGGTCTTGCAGAACTTTGCTGAGCCTGTCCTGTGTTAACGTACATTGTGATTCCATAGGGAGTCTGGGTAGAGGGCACATAGCATTTCTACCCTCGTCGGACCCCAAAGGCATCTGTTTGCCTTGTTTCTTGGTAGTTCATTTTGGGAAGCAGAGTTGGGTTGCATTGGATTGGGTGGGGTGGGGTGGGGTGTGGAGCTATCTGGCAGCTTCTAAGGACAGATTCTGCCTGATTCACTTGTGTCCGCTTTTTCCCTCAAGGCCTGTGTGGACTGTGGTAGCAGCACCCAAGACCCTGGCCACTCTGATCACCCACTGTTCTCAGACCTGGATGGACTGGGGCTGGAGCCTATGGAGGAGGGTGGAGGCGGGGGCGAGGGCGAGGGTGAGGGTGGCGAGGAGCCCAGGGCCCAAACGGGGGCCAAGGTCTCCGGCTCTCAGGACTCAGCCATGGAGGAGGAGGAACAAGGTGGCAGCTCATCCAGTCCAGCCTTACCTGCTGCAGAAAATGGCACCAGCTAGACTCCGTTAGGGGGCCACTCCCTGGGGCCCTCGGAGAGGCTTCCTTTTCCCGTGTTGCTACTTACATGTGGCTGGACCAACCAGTAGGAAACTGCCCCAGCTTCTCCCTCTGTAGGGGGCAGGACCCCCATCACCAGCCCAGGATCCAGGGGCTGCTTCTGGCCTCTTAGGGAACAGAGGGTGGAACTTTTCAGCCCAGCTCAGAGGAGTGTCACCTCCCTCTCCTGGGAGTCTGTTCCCCTGGGTAACGTTGCTGATAAGCTACCGAATTGTTCTCTCCAAATCCCAGCTGAGCCTGAACCTGGTCCCGAAGGTTGGGGCTGCACTTATTTATTGGGGCGGACAGCTGGCCCTCCTGCTGCTTTCCCATGTGGCCCAAGCAGCATCCGAGGGTTTGAATGCCTAGCTGCTCCGGGTGGAGGAGGTTGGTGGACCATGGTGTCCCTGGTGCTGCCCCTCAGGTGGGACCCAGGCGTTCTCAGCTCTACCCTCTACCAATGGCATTTGTGTTTTTGATATTGTGTCTGTTATTTTTTAATACAAAAAGAAAACAATCAGGACTTTGGAATGAAGTGTTTGGGGTTTGGGTGAAGGGAGGGGTGCCCCTGCTTCCAGAAAGGTGGGGGGGCAGTTCCATCCCTGATGTGCCCCATTCCTCCTCTTCCCATTTCCCTTCCTGCGCCTGCGGATTCTACCTGATTCAAACCCTACTGTTGTATCCCCGCAGCCAGGGTGGTTCCGAAAGGAGACTCAGTCAGCTTGTCGATAAGGGCCTGGGCCACCTCCCGCAGTGGCTCCTTGTGGGGAGGCAAGCGGAAAAACCCGCTGAGCCGCGCACATGCACAGGCAGCAGAGGGTGCCGACAGTCTCTTCCTAGCTTCTTGAAGATGGCCCCTCAGCAGGTCAGCCTAGGTAGCGAAGGCACGGGCGTGTGGCTCTATGCTTGTTGAGTTCGCCCGAAACGGTATTAGGAAAGAAAGGGACAGCAAGAGCATCAATCTTGCTGCCTGGAATGTAAAACCATGGGGAGACTAAATCCCCCAAAACTCGTAGCCACAGCTGATCTATCACTGGTATAAAAGCCGCTTCCGTTGGCGCCGTGGCTTAGCTGGTTAAAGCGCCTGTCTAGTAAACAGGAGATCCTGGGTTCAAATCCCAGCGGTGCCTAAGGTTACTGGGGAAAGTAAATTATTGCTCCAAATAACCCACCCGTTCCGGCGTCTGATTTAAAATAATCTTCTTACCGAGTCCTTTGCCGTGCACTTTTAGTATGAGTTTGGAGGCAAAGATTCACTTTGCTTTCAAGATGGGAAGCAGACACCCCTTGCCATATCCTCTAGGGGCATGGGAAACAGGACTCAGGTTTTGGCTCGTTTTGTTAGGAATCACACGGCAGGTCCGCGCAAAACAGCTCAAGGGCGCCGCAGCTGCGCAGTGCCTCCAGCTTACACGCATGCGCACGGTAGCGTTGCTAGGGCGGGGCTGGCAGGAGGCGGGCACATTGATAGGCTGCTATAGTTGCACACGCTAAGTGGTGCACGCGGCTGTGATGGCCGAGTGGTTAAGGCGTTGGACTCGAAATCCAATGGGGTCTCCCCGCGCAGGTTCGAATCCTGCTCACAGCGCAGGTAGTTTTGGCATCGGATAGTACTACCTCCAGAGAACAAACCGGTTTAATTTATAGTCCTTTCTTTGAAGAAACTCCATATTATTGTGAGGATCTGTTGAACTCGACCAGCCCGCCAGCGCCCTCCTCCGAGGCTCAGTCTTCTGCTGACCGCCAAAGCTGTTTTATGACAATTTTAATTCACAAGGCCACCAAACTACTCAAGTGGCTTCCTGGGGTTACTCAGCAATCATATTACCTTCCCCGAACCCATTCATCCTACTCGCCTATACGACTATTCTTTTTTTTTTTTTTAACAGCAAAAAGATAAAAATAATGAAATAGTGTCAAAACAGGTCAGTAGGAGTTACACTAATACACTGCGTACTGTCTTTATTATTTTTTTAAGCGCACAACATATATCCCTTCTTCATCTTGCCTTAGATGATCTTGTTTCACTGAGAAAATAAAGCATCCGAGATTCCTAACACCCACAGTCACAGCTGCCTGTCTGAGCTGTGGCCACACGCCCTCCTCCCGCTCCTTGCTGGCCCACCGCACTCTGAACCGTCTTTGCGAGGGAGATTCCGCACCCCCGCTGGCTTACTCAAAGACACGGGTTTGTTTCGTTCTGGGTTTTTATGACAGTTATTCAACAGGTACACACCTTGATAGAAATGCAAACCTAAGGTTGACATACTACATTCAGAAAATTATCAACAAAACAATAAGTTACCAAATTTTGGGCTCAGTAAACTAAGAAATACATTATCAGTGAGGAAGATGAACAAATCACCAAACGGCAAATTTATGAATTAGATGTTTTTAAAAGATGTAAATACGGTATCACTCACCAATGATACCGTGAATAAAATGTCTTGTCTATCCAGACTCTACTTTTATTTAATTATTATCAGGCTTGGCATTATATTAACTGATGTTACTTTAAGCAGCATACCTAAAAAGAAAGAAAACATTGGAAATTCGTAATTTATTAGTTTACTAGTTTGAAATTTTTGTGTACTAACTAAAAGCTTTTCAAACTTTTTGAATGAAGATATACTACAAATAAACAGTAGAACTGGTGTGGGGGACCCTGTCTGTAGTCCCAGCACTCTGGAAGCTGAGGTGGGGGTGTTGCTGTAAATTCAAGGCCAGAGGTGCAAAACCCCGTCTGAAAAAGAAGAAAAAATGGTCTATTTTTTCTTGTATGTAAGGCAAGTTTTTGTCTTCTTAATCTGTTGTTGGAAGTATGCTTGCACTATCAAACTGGGGATTGAACTCATGACCGAGTGCTTGTAAGGCAGGTGCTAATGCCCCTGAACTAAATCCCCAGCCCCCAACCCACATTTTCAGATTGCTAATAAAGCTTTATCATCATCTAAAGCTAAGTTCTAAAAAAAGTACATGTATGAATTACATGTGTGCATATATAATGTATACAGAGTACACATATTGTCTGTTTATATGCATATATAGATAATATAAATGTGTGAATGCATGTAGCCTACCTAACTCCTTGGAAGAAACACACTTTGGTATCAATCATTACCAAAATTCCTTGCCCAGTAATATGCCACTTTTATTAAAAACCTAGGATTTGTTAAGTACCATGTTAATATCTGAATATCAAAAGAATCAATTTTTTTATTCTCAAGGATAATGCTATTAAAAGATCATCTCTGCTGCAACCCCAGCACTCCGGAGGCTGAGGCAGAGTTTGAGGCCAGTCTGGGCTACAAAGTGAGTTCAAGGCAGCCTAAACTCAATAGTAAAACCCGGTCCCAGAAATAAACCATGCTAGGGATATAGTTCAGTGGTACAAGTTCCTGCCTGGGAAGCGTGAGGTCCTTAATTTGATTCCCAGTACAAACAAAACACACACACACACACACACACACACACACACACACAGAACCAAAAAAATAAAAATGATAACCTCAGGGCTGGGGATTTAGCTCAGTAGCATAAGCGCCTACTTTGCATGCATGCGGAGTCGTGAGTTTGATCCCTGGTACCGATTAAAAAAAAAAAAAAGATGATCTCTAACATCAGTGGTTGATATGTTTTTTACTTACAGGGCAAAAACTTTTGAAATTTCATTGTGGGACCCAGTCTATTTCTATTTCTGTACATGGGAATATTAATGCACACGAGGTGCTTGTATGCTAGTGTACACCCACGGGTTCCTACCATGCTCATGAAACCACCTAACTGACAGATGGACTCATGGTTTCAAAGGGAAGCACTCTCTCTGGCACACTTGGAAGAACTCTGGGGTTTCTGACCTGCTGCTGCTGTTGAGTAGGGAATATATCTACAGTTGGAACAGGAGAGGGAAGAGAGAGATTTATTAAAATAATGCCAGTTGTGGGCTTTTCTTCTCTTAAAATTAGGAAATTAACCAGGAATAGTAGTACATCCTTGTAATCTCAGCACTCAGGAGGCTGAGGCAGGAGGATCATTGCAAGTTCCAGGCCAGCCTGGGCTGCAAAGTGAGCTCAAGGCCAGCCTGAACTGCATAGTGAGACCCTGTCTCAAAAAGACAAAACAAAACCAATTGTGGCATTAGTCAATGTATAATTGAGTATACTAATAAAAAATAAAAGGTTGCAAGATGAAAGCATTCGAGACACTCTAATAGAGCAGAATGTTAGTGTTATGGGTTCGTGTCTAGTGGGAGCCTTCTTTCATCAAAATTTCACGAGGTATCTCTATGTTATATAACATCAGGACCAAATGTATGCTGCTGTTGATTGCAGTGTTATCACTAGCATTAGAGAAAAATTTAAGACAGTCATTAATCACAGTACAAATATATTGACCATGTACAGAATTTCTAATATTTGGAATATATTGTAATAAAATAAGTATAAATACTGTTTGAATTATAATAACCATGGCAGAAACAAAATTACATAAAGAGTAGCTGTAACAAAAAATTAAAAGCATATTAAATGACAGAGTAGCAAAGTGGTAGCAATAAATCATTAAGGTTTTAAATAACATGGTATGTGCTAAAAGGTACAGAAGTATTTTTTTAATAATTTTTTTTTTCTTTTTTCCAGTACCAGGGATCAAACTCACAACCTCACACTTGCTAGGCAGGCATTTATGCTGCTGAGCTAAATCCCCAACCCCCGATATACAAATATTAAAAATTCTGTTAGAATTGAAATGACTTTTTTTTAAGACAGAATATCTCCCTAGAGTCGTTCAGGCTGGCCTCGGACTCACAGAGATCCTCTGCTTCACATTCCCAGGTGCTGGGATTACAGGTGGGCCCCACTGTACCCCACTTGAAATGATTCTTATCCTAAATACTAAAATAAAAAAGAATATGAAACATAGTATCTAAAAGCCTGAGAAAAATACCAAGCAGAGACTATGAAAGACACCTCATTATTCGGAATGTGGCTGTTATTTAGGAATAGATAAAATGTAAAAAATCTCACTACAGCAGGGTGGTGGTGCACCCCTGGAATCCCAGCATTCGGAAGGCTGAGGCAGGATGACTGCTGTAAATTTGAGGCCAGCCTGGGCTAAACAGTGAGTTCAAGATCAGCCTGAAATACATCGTGAAACCCTATCTGAAAAAGACAAAAACTAAAAATGTCACTACAATGAGATTAACATATAGAACAAGCCACATCCATCCTAGTAATTTTTGTAAAAGAGCTGAAAAACCAAATTTCATAAAACATAGATGGTTTACAGTGTAATAAATAGCATGCCGAGACACTGACTAACCCTAAATTTCACAGCAGGCAGCTTTAGCCAGTTCCTGGGGCAGGATCTTGGTCACTGCAAGATCACTGAACAAGCAATCAGCTGAGTGGCTACTCCGCTGTCTTAATAACGAATGTCCCCCCTCTCTCCCTGGAACGGAAGCTTCCAGCAGATACAGTGGAGGAGGGGTGCGTCCACCAGCCGGTGCAGCCCCCATCGGTCGGT